ACGGCTTCAAACGGCTCATAACTTCGCCCGCGTAGGCGCTAAGCAGATATGGAATAGAGATTCGAAGTCAGCGTTTTATGCTGCACCTAATGGTATGCAGCTTCTCTAGATTAGCCACTTCGATTTCTAACCATTCCCTTGTCAGCACAGCTGCATAATCCTTCAATTAGCTTTGCAGGATTTTTTGATGGATTTTTGCATTCTCAACTCTCATTACTAGAAGTGATGTTCTGAAAATATGTGTGATTTTACACGACCTGACTTTTGTGGTTATAGCATTTCCTTTCCATCTCCGATTGACGCGGATCTTTGCACGAAGAGACAGTACAGACATGTGCAGAACCACTCTGACATCGATGTCCATCTTCTACATCAATCTCTGCATGCGTCCTGCCATTTAGTGGCTCGTTCGGCGGCAATGTTATTACTTTTGTTGATTGAAGAAGCCTTCACGTGAGGTTTTTAAAGAACAGCTGAGCTCAAGTGATCACCTCCCGAGGTGATCGAGCGCACTTATCAGAAAGGCCTTAGTTGTTGAAAGTTGAATGTTTAGGAAGGTAATGAGAGCTACTGGCTTATAATTTTAGTTGACATTCACTGCCGCTTCTACAAGAACCCTCTCCCTAATCGAAATCTTATCGCTTAACGTATGCACTGACCGCACCCTCTAGGTTCGGCCTTCTGCCATTTCGACTAACGATATAACTATGATATTGTGTCTCCGGTTTACTTAACATATCAGCTGAAGATTTTGAAAAAGGTGTAATCGCTAATCTAAGCCGGTCATCATCACTGAATATCGATATTATTTGTCGAGACGTCAACGGATCGCAACACTCTATTACACTCATTATCTCAGATGAGCGCTCAAATTACCAGTAAGCAAATACTCACAATCAGTGTTATTGTTCCTTTTATGCTCCACAAAGACCCAGTAAGGTGATTTTCTAGTAATGCATTCGTCTCAAACATTCGAAGATCTGTGAAAGAGTCTTTTTTGCGTGTTTCAAAGGCTCTGTTCAGTTGTGTAATTCCCCTGCTCGTAGATCACAGCACTCAGCTATCATGTACATGTCACTGATGCTAGTTGATAATCTATCTCGTCTTTTTGCATACATTCCTCCTCAGACAATCGCAAAAGACTTCCGGGCAAACTGAAGTTCTAAAACTTAGAGTGGGGGATACTCCTACTGGAGCTGCCAGGTAGGGCAGGGCCCACCAACACGGCCCAATAGAAGCGTCCCCCCGGAAGTTTTAGAGTTTGTTCCGGAATTTGCGATTGTTAGAGTGTCTTTGATTCTTTGTGCTGTCGTACATTCCATCCTTGCTGTGGCAGTGCTTGTATACCATGCACCTTTACTTTAATCGTGCTTCTTCTGTCACTGAGGAATACTAACCAACTTTTATCATATCCCCTCTCATCTCAATTCTTTTGAGCTTTTGCTGTTGTGAACCGCTTTGTGTTCAGCAGATGCTTTATTGATAGTCATTCCTGGAATGCTATCTAGTCTCTTATTAAACGCTGTCAGTGAATGATACCGCTTTCTTCAGAGGTCTCACCAGCAATGTATCGCCCCTAGATTATAGGGTTTTTGTACGAATGAAGCGTCTCTGAAATATGTGTGGGAACTCTGCGAGAAAATGATTAGAACTTGAAGGTTTTTCTTCGCGTGACGTCCGCAGTTATGACCTCTTCGAAATGCTGTTTTCAATCATGTCTCCATCTGTCAGACGGCCTTACAGGCGAAGCTCTAGGCATTTTCTCCTTTAATAGTCACAAATCATGGGTAAATGCTAGTGGTCCACGATTACTTTTTTCGAGTTCTCGAAATGTACCTTTTAAGGCAGCTCGGTGCGTGCGGAAGTTATTCTGAGTCTTCGGTACAATGCAAAACACTCACACACTCTCAAGTGCCTTTACATATGCTTGTATTTGGAAAGGCAAATGTACGTTGTAACAAAGGCACAGGTTCTGCCTTTCCATACCAATTTTTTTATATCATTGCAACTAAAGTTCGTGCGCTAAGAGCTTCGCAATCTGTCCACTTTCCTTTACTTTACTTGGCAGATCATAATCGTCAAATAACGCAGTTCTGCTCACTCTTGCACTTCAGTGATTTAACTGCCTTAACTTTTTGATCAGCTGGCCTGTACCACACATAGGTCACAATATCGCTCTGAAGCTATTTTATTCCTGAATGCGCTCGTATGAATTCCATCGGTTTGCGGTGTATCACATGAGTGCATGCTAAAGCTACGTAGCCATCAGAGCTATTTCTGTCGTAGTCATGACTCGTGAAACGAATGCACGACCGAAAGGAGCCAAGGTACCTTCATCCTTTTTGAAACTTGTGATTTCTAAGCGTTAGTTATTCAGTCTCGACCTCTTTCTCTCAATTTTATGTTGAAGCAATAGTATTCGGTTAGCTGAAGTTCTGTTGCTTTGGCGGCTCGTAGAAATGTTGCAGAAGAGTTTTTGTCCTATGTTTGGTTTATCTGGGAAGGCTCTAGAAAGGTTTCTTTTTTACTTTTGGAATTGCTTAGCTGGACACCTGGATTAGATCTTCTTAAATAACCAAGGTTTCGGTATTGTTAGGCTCGCCTTCTTCAGTGATTGAGCTAGTGCTCATCTAAACTGTTCAGGTGTGCAATAGATTGATCTTGCATTAACTTTTGCAGTTCTCGGTTTGCTGATGCATTCAACGTCTTTATGATTCTGATATTGTCTTGGGATAGATCACCTTTGCGTTTGACAATTACAGACTCTGAAAAGGCGATATAGACGAATCGTCGTTCAAAATAAAGAAGATACTAGGTGTTTAGCTAAGCAGTTAAGAAGGCAATTCTACAATGCCGAAAACAAAGAACAGTCAAACTTGATTCTTTTTTTTTTTGTTGAAAAATGCTCAAGGAAGATACTTGAAGTTCTCATGGGGCAAATGTGACAGAATTTTGGTGGTCACGAAAATTCAGAGTAGCAGGTCATAATTTTGATGTTGTTTGCTGAGTAGGAAAAATTATGTGTATCCTATCGGCAACTACCCGTCTGAATATCCGCTACAGCATGAAAGCCAAACTTGTTGTTAGAAAGGTAACAAGCTGAGTGGAAATCTAGCCATTTTGGGGCAAAACTGTCCAGTTAGGTTAGGTTATGTGACAGTAGAACATTGGGACTGCGCAATCGCAAAAAAATTACAGTCAAATAATAACTATTTTACACGTTTCACATAAAAACTACCTAGATTTTTCAGCCAACCTAATAGTAGTACATTGTGGTTTTGGGTTTGTTCAGTACGCAATGGTATGTTCCGAGAGCGGAATCTGGTGGATATGCTGATAAATCGTCTTAGGCTCCTCTTGATCATATTACTGTACCTTTTTTCTACAATTAGAGTGCATGGCGCGTACCTCTCTATTTCGAAGGGGTTGTGTAAGCCATCACATAACTCGATCCAATCGTCATAAAATTCTGCCAAGATTGAGCATCTTTTTTAAAGCTTCACCAGCTTGCGATTGATCGCGATATAACGCTGCTTAAATTTCCTTGATACGCTTTTATTTTTTCCTGATAAATAATCGTATCACAGAACACAGATTCCCTTTCTGCCCATGACTTCCTTGTCGCGCTGCTCAAAAGTTCATTCGTATTCATCAGCACCCGCTTGCATACATGATGTAATGCTTTCGCATGGTAGGAATCATTTGTGCAACATAAATGCCTCGCGCCAAGAATAGCTTTGATGCTGTAGATTCTTTCGTGCGTTTATCTCACTTCTGGTGTGATAGAACTTCTCTTTGCTTTGCCTGATCTCACTTTCGGAGTAAGCGAGTCCCTCTACCCTAAATTGTGAAGATTACGATATCTGAATCCACATTCGAATTGAAACGACACCAAATTCATCATCTTTAGTCTGTCTCGCGTAATTTCTGCTTCTTGCTTCATCATGAAGTTCTCAGTGACGATATTGAGTACAGTTTGGTGCTGCAGTAAACATCTATTTGTGATTTTACTATGACTCTGACTAGAACGAAGCATTTGAAAAGAATTTATGAAGCGAGTCGTTCGCTTCGCTAGAATGTGGTGGTGCTTCATCGATCACAGTTGATGCGTGCTGCTATCTAAACCACCACTTATGTGAAACCCTGTTTCTGCTTCTTCAAAGCTCGCTGTGGTTGTTGTTTCTTAAGTTTCTTTGTTAATGTGCTGAAGAACTGTTGAATTTTTCAACAGTTCTTCAGCACACTAACATTCTTGAGGTTGCTATGAAATTGCCGTAGGTTGTATCAGGTTGACCCGAAAGTCTGCGCACTGTTTTCAAATTTTTATAGCTTCTGATTTCTCTAGTCGATTCGTTTGTTTTAGTCTTTGTTCAAGAGCAAATCATATCCTTCATACACATCAGTATCTTAGCGGGTTTTTTATAAGCCTGCATTGCAGAGAGAGAGAGAAGCCGTAGAAGAATATTTAATTTTGAATTTTCGTAGGGTTGCCAGAAATCCGAAACTTGCAAAATTTGAGTAATTGTCTATTACGGCTTCTGTCTCTGCAATGCAAGCTTAATAGATAGTCTTTAGGATACTGTTATAAAGAGCATGATTTACTTTTTCGAACTAAAATAAAAGCACAATTTGTTTTAAATCGGAGTGGAAATGGTGCGTCAGAACTTTTGGGCCAACCTAATGTATTCTCTATAAAAAGAAGTAATATATGTTTTACTCCGTTTCTCCTTTAGACGGAGTAGGGTTGAGCTTACATCGTATAGCGAACGGACGTAGCCACACTTTACATCAGAGATATCTGCTCTATCATCAAATCAACATGAAATAGAAGCATGCGTGACTCGACTCCGTCTTTATCTCATAGCTTTCATATGTCGAGATCTTTCTTCCTTTGTAATGCCATATCAGCGTTTCATTTGCCGCCATTTTCAAGAGAGATCTATCCAGCAGTTTTTCTTTGCTTTACTTCTTACTGTCTATTCTAATGTTTCTAATTCTAGGCTCATGCTGATTGCGGTTTGGCAAGGATAGTGTTCGATGCCAAAGGTGATGCCATGTCAGAGTACTCCGTTGAGCATTCGGACACTTCATCACCCACTGAACCAGCAGTTGATGAATGCAAAGAAAATGGCGATGCACCTGGTAAGTGTTTTGCGTGACTGACTTCAGCCATTTTTTTGCCATCTAGCGTCGCTAACGAAAAATTGCTCTTTCGCGTTGTCACGAATTAAGCAAAATCTACCTCTTTTTAGGTGCTTTCCTTTTGGAAGGAGATGCTACGAAATTTATCAAGTAGATCATCTTATAAAAACAATTCCTTATCTCTAATTTTTCTTGCGATGACCAAATAATCTCAGCGGTTTGCAAAAATGCATAAAATTCTTAGTTAGTGGCGTGAGTTGTCTGAGGGAAACTAGTCTCTTGCAAAACCACATAATATTTATGCTGCTCTTCATTTGCGATATATCTCAGAAAAAATTCTTGCTAGTCACGAATTTTATGGCTGTCGTTTATAGACATGTGCTTTCTGCGATTCTACATATATTAGAATAGTTACTAAGGTATACCATCTTCTACTGTCATATACATCGTATCATGCTTTTTGTTCTGCTGGATAATAATGAATTCGATTTGAGAGTGCTCACGCTATCTCGCAAAAAGGCAAATCACATGAATTCATGAAGATTACTTCAGTTCGAGAGTTATTCCTATCGTCAAGTAGTATATTATTAGCGACCTCAAGCCCAGCATTCGGTGTCAACCTGGTGGCCCCGTTCAACCTTTAAAAAGCGGGAAAAAGTTCACTTGTCAGTCCCCGTTGCTTGAACAAATATTCTAGTTTTCTGACATTCCAAATGAAATACCTTATTCTCTTTGTGCCGTTCAGTCAAAAAACTTTGAGCGACTCGTTTCATCATAAATTTGTATTGATTGCATATTGGTTTATGCTGTGCATTGGGCAGCTGTTTACTTTTGCGAACAAAAATTCCTTTTTACAACGGGTACTGATTCTTGAAACAGTGCTGACTGTTCACTCGATTCAGTCCCGTTCCAAGAACTCTGCAAAAATGTGGTAGTGCCAAGAGTTATGCGCTTTATTACAACAGCTTTTTGCAGATGAAGTGAATATGGAGTCGTTTCGTGAAGTGCTCATGAACATCATACGTGAGACCGATTTGGATATCACTCGCCTTAAAAACAGAAAGGATATGTTCCAACAGCTGTATGTGCAGTATTTCGGTACCGGGCCAGATGGCTCTATCACTGACGACGGAGAAGGTTGGTGCTTACACAGCATTTTCGAGGCCGTACACCTTCGCAAAAAGTCTGTTTTTTTGCAAATCAGATTCTACTAATCAATATAATAAAGAAGGAATTTTGTGTTAAGTATTATTTTATTCTCCTTTACAGATCATAGTCGAGCGCTGACACGTAAATTAGGATCGAAGTTTCTGCGTCGAATATCCAGCCGCATAGCAAAATCAAATGAATTGTTCAGTCATTTCGATCGTATGGCAGAAAATAGAAAACGTCGAGGAGCGTATTCGGACAATGAAGGAGAAAGGTATGTCTTACTAGGGGGGTTGGGATCTCTTGAATAAGTACAGGAAAACTTTGGCACTGAAAGACTTAACTTTGATCTTCATGGAGTCATTACAAGTTGAAACCATCTCCAATCGGTGGCGTGTCCAAATCATTCATCAATCTGCCAATTTTTCTCCATGCTCTTCTTTCTTCCCCTTCTTCCTTCCACAAACTCACAACAGAAATTTGGTGATGTTTCCACACTGCATCAATATTTTGTCCCACGATGTTTCCCATTCCTATCCTCTTCTCTAAACTATATTCTTTTCACTCGTGGTACGATGAGAATTTGATAGAAGTGTATCAAACGGTGACACTTGTCTTATCGGGATGGTACACTGCTGAAATTTTCCCTTATTATCCTTTTTTAACGGAATAGGATTAGAATGATGTGCAGCAGCAATTGTATTATATTAGGCTGTCCCGAAAGTTTTGTCGGTTTTTTCATCGCTCACCAAACCTCACAGAACACCAATCCATGAACGGCCTAGGTGTCATTATATTCATTTTTTTGTCCCCTTTCTTATAGCTATAATTGTTCCCTGATCTATCCCGTCTTTGCGATGCTATCGCAGTAGCTTTTGGAGCACCTCAGCAGTAGCGCCAAAACTTTCCTGAATTTTCAAAATTATTATCTTGATAATTTTGACGAGCGCTGGTGACTTTTATGTAGGGCAAACCTTTGGCTACATCTTACCCATTTCAGATTAAGTGGGCCACGCTATAGAGCCCGTAATAATTATTTATTTGAGAAAAACCGCGGCTTTTTGAACACGTTTTACCATGTAAAATTACCGAAAATTCCAAAAAGCTGATTTTTGAAGCAAATTAAACTTGGTTATGTTGCATAAATGATGTTTAATAACAAACAAGTTTAAATTTGCAAAAACTTCAAAAGCTTTCATGCTTTTGCTGCAATTGCGCGTTTCATAACTTTGCTAAAAACCAAGGCCTCCGGAGAAATAATTTTTTGAAGTTAAAACCAGCATATTAGGAGTATGTAAAAATACTACCTTGTAGCCCGAGAGTTGCTCTATTTGACCCATAATTAGTCTTTTTCGAAACTTTGTAATGGAATTTTTAAAAATCAGCTCAACTTTGAGCAGGTAAAATTGACAGGTGGAGAATTTTGGCAATTATCAAAAAAGCGTACAAGATTATGGTAGATTATGTGTATCCATAAGAAAGAGAAGGAAAAGCTGCATCGAATGCATGTTGAAACTCACTCAGGTCTTTATTGTGCGTGCTTTTACAGTGATTTGAAAAAACGGACAAAACTTTCGGGGACAACCTAATATTTGATTCAATCGCGGATTTGTTTATGAGCTAAAAAGGATCACGCTTTGAGAATCGATGCTGTACACCACAGTTCACGTTCTGCCTCCTCGCTGAGTTTGCTAACTTTACCAAATTTACAAAGTCCACTCTTTTCTTCCAGTCAATTGAAAAATTTTGATATGCCCAGGATTGGTTAATCTGGATTGAGTGTTTGAGCCCAATTCCCACTTGTTTCTTGTTTCCGTAGCCATAGCGCAGAAAAAAGCCAATTTTTGAACAAATATCTACAAGTATTTTTGCAGACGTGTTACTAAACGCTCACGATACGACGATGATGAAGATTGGACTGAAGAAGGTAATCTCCACGGATCAACAGGTCATGTTGGTCGTGCTGGCAAAGGTAGATTGATTTTATAGATTTTCATAAAACCGTATCAAAAAACTGCTCTACATCTGATTTGCTGTTTGAACCAAAAATCGCTGAGCTTGGAATATGTACATGAGATGATGAAATGAGACTACTGACTTTTTTTTTTATAAATTGAGCAGTTGAAGAAAGAAGTTGAGATTTTTACAGTTATTGAAAAGTAGTTCAGAGCACAGATTGCCAGATTGCTCTGAAGTTTTTTCGGAGCAGATTTTTAGCCAATGTATGCCTCATGCCTTTTTGAGAAATCATGATTCTAGTGTTGAACTATCCCTATCCGTACGTCCCTCAAGAGGAAGAGCACCGTATCCTGCTGCAGTCCAATGGGTCAGCTTCAGCCTATGCACAGAGCCTTGCTAAGCTCCTGTTTGCCGATACTCTCGACCTCTACTTCAAGGTACTGTGAAAGTTCATTTTGGTGAAGATAGTATGTTTATACACCATGTTCAGGATCAAGATCAGTCCAAGCGGCAATGGATCCATGAAGCAGTGGACTTCCGATTCCCTTCTCATGATAGAAACGCGCAACTGCTGAAGTGGAAGAACTGTTCACAAGCAATAAATAAGAATATGCGCAAATCTGAGCGACCTTTAGCGCCAGAGAACGACAAAGCGAAGCGAAAACAAGGTATATTGAACATTGAACTTTTTCTCTTGTTTTTGGTTTCTTTTGTCTGTTTATATGGTTCTGATACATAAGAAGGTTCTTCTTACTTGCTTTCATATTTTTTTGCATCTCATCTTTGACTGAATGTCTTGCCATACTTTGAGATTTTCAAAAGTATAACGAGATACCTAGCAGAATCGGAGAATTAATACTTCATAATTTCTCACTTCTAGTGCTAATTGATATTCATGATGATTTCATGTTTATTCAAAAATTCTGCTGTCGTGGGCATCCGGGTTATATCCAGAAAATTTATCATCACACCTTTTTATATAGAACAGTTTGATTTCAGTCGAGTGCACTTATGTAAACGCCGACTATGAGGCAGAATGTTATCGTAAAGCGGGCAAAGATCCAACTAAGTATGCGGAGTTACTGTCACTCAAATTATTCGAAGGATCTTGGGACAAGTATTTCAAAGAGCAAGTAAGATTATTCAAGCATTAATTTTATGCAAAGCACTATAGTTTTCACGACCCCGGAAATATTCTCAGTACTTTCCACTATTGTCATGAGTGAAATATAAATTCTTGAGGATCCTAAAATGAAGGACTGGCTACGAGAATGCGTAGATCGCAGGTATTATATAAATGACAAATCCAAAAGAGATGCGCGATGGAAGGTTTGCGCAGCTGCCTGCAACCGAAACAGAACGAAAATTGTGGGAAAAGATGGGAAAGGTTGGCTTGAATAGATTTAGAATCCTACGAATTTTGCACCATTTGCTTTTAGAAGAGGAGTATCCATATGTGTCGAAAGAAGCCGAAGAAAACTGCTTTCAAGAGGCTAATGGTGTGCCATATGTCTACGCAGAAGCGATGGCTAAGCTGTTGTTCCCGGATACCCCTCATCTATTTTTCAAAGTGAGTTAGGGGGTTCTTACTCCAGTTGAAATTGACTCGATCTTTACCGCTTTAGGACCAAGATCTTGGCAAGCGCAACTGGTTACACGACGTCCTCGACCGCCGATTTCCAACCCCTGATAAGTTGCACCAGGTGTCTAAGTGGAAGTCGTGCACTACTGCGATCAACAGAAATAAAACCGACAGTAAGCTAAAAAAAACTCTCGTTGTGCATGGGAAGTGATGGAAAATTTTCATTATTTTCAACCTCCACTTCAGAGCCTCCAGCAGCGCCAGCAACAGCAGCCAATCCGAAGCAGACCAGTCAAGCGGCAGTCACTGAAACAAAATCCACAAAAAAAGGTCAAAGCAACAGTGCAAAGTCCGCTGAGAAGAAGGAACAGCCGAAGGAGAAAGATGCGAAGAAAAGGAAAGAACATGAGAAAGATAAACAAGAGAAGCACGAAGAGCAAAGCACTAGCAAGGCGCACACTAGTCGTAAACCCACGGATAAGGGGAAGGAGGAATCATCTAAATCCCATGCCAAGGAGGATAACAAAGGTCATGCCAAAGAAGATAAAGGTCACGCCAAAGAGGATCCACCAAAAAGAGAGCGCGAAAGCAGTCGCATCAGCTCTCGCGCTAAAATCAGGCGTAAGTTCACGACTATCTGAAGACATTTTCCTTGTCTATTGCAAGTGTTTTCTACAGCCGAACCCTACACTTCATATCCTTTTGTGACGGAAGAAGAAGAAATCCAAATTTACGAAGCCAGTAAGCGAGATGTGGAAGCTTATGCGAAAAATCTCGCTCGTATATTGTTCAAAGACAGTATTAAGTTGTTGTTCAAGGTAAGTGTCATTTCTTGCAAGCGGATACCAGCATTTCAGCTTTATATTCATAGGACCAAGATGAAGATCGTCGCAGTTGGCTCCAAGGAATTGTCGACTTCCGTTTCCCTACCTATGCCGTTATCGAAACGAGGTCAAAATGGGCGCATGCTATAAAGGCTATAAATAAAAATGCTACCGGTCATTAATTGGCATATGATTTTCAATATATATACTAGCTAAGAAGCATTTTGCTGTTTGTAGAACGTCTAGAGTTTTGACTTTGGCGCAAATGATACGCTTTAGGATTTACATGCCATCATTCATTTTCTCTAAATTCTAATTTTGTTCTTAGTATTTTGATTTTGTGCAGGTATGCATTGTCAGAGCTTGCTTTTTTGTACAATTTCTTCCATATCGGTTTATCGACAGTTAGAGAAACATCATGTTGTGCGAGCTCAAAACTCTTGACAATATGTGATGACAAACAACAGTGATGGCATGTTTTACTCTAAACCTGATATCTGCATTCGGAGAAGAAACCACTTAGAAATGTCATAAAGTTTTTGCATACACTGTCTCTTCGCTTCTTTTTTTTTCACAACATCACACAATTGGTAGAAACTTCATGCTTGTTGTTTGACCCTTTTCTTCATCCAATCTCATGCGCATGATATCATTTGTGCTTTTTTTTGAAGCTTTAATAATGCAGAACGATTATGACTCCAGTCACTCTGGGTTGTGTATGTATTTTGCGTGATTTCAATATGTCTCTCAATATTCTGTTCCTGTGTCACTTTTTAAGAAATTGATCTTGAAGGGAATTTTATTCTAGCGTTAGATGCCAGTTTGTAGAACTAGCCTTCATACATAGTTTATCTCTTATGCTAGCATTCTGCTGAGGTTGTCACTGTATCTTATCTCCCGCGTGATCGAACGTGTTGCGTCTGTTTTATTTACGCTGTGTTCCTTGTGCATATACTTCCATAGTAAGTTTACGGAGTAGAACCGCAATATAAGTTGTCTGTTGTTATGATTGGCTATGTGGTTATGGCTTTGGCTGATTATTGTAGTATAATAATAAATAGTTCCAACTCAAGATCTGCGACATTTCAGCGCGGGTCACGTCTGTGTTTCTGTTTTACTTACTCACTCAGATACTTAGGATGATCCTCTTTACGTGACGTGCGAGCTCCAGTTCAAAAGTTTCCAGTGTTATCTGTCCCTCGCTTCGAACATCCACGAATTTCTTTGTTGTCGGTGGCTGTGTCCACGAGTTCTGGGCGCAAAAATCGTATGTAGCTGATTTCTCGGCTGTTCATCTGTTCCACGAACACGTCTACTTAAAGGCATTGTCCAGGTAAATTGGGAGGTGGTGGGATTTTAATGCCGCGCTGGAGCACGGCTCCTGACTAATGCAACAGTTCAAGTTGGATTGAAAAAAGTGGATTCTGAAGCGAGAAAATCGCTCCTGAAAAAAAGGGGCGTTCCGCCAATCCCGCCTCCTTGACAAGTTTTGACGTGGCGAATGCTGTAGATCTAATGTATTAGCCACGTCAAAACTTGTCAAGGAGGCGGGATTGGCGGAACGCTTCTTTTTTTTTCAGAAGCGAGTTTCTCGCTCCAGAATCCACCTTCTTCAATCGGACTTGAACTGTTGCATTAGTCAGGAGCCGTGCTCCCGAGCTGTGCCAAAATCCCACCACCCCCGTGTTGACATGGACAATGCCTTTAACTTGTTGGTGGTCTTCCTCAAAGACACTTGGCTTCGCGAGTAATTCACGAAGCTGTTCTTTGTGTCCATCTGTTGTCTGCTCTTCTCATGATGCGACCGGCCCATCGATGCTTCGCTTTCATTCCGCTGGATCACGAAGACGGGACATTCTTCATAATCGTAATTCGAAGTCCGACATGTTGTTTGTGTCGGGTCATCCTCAAAGACTGCGCTCAAACGCTTTTTGGGCGATCGTAGAGCTTTCGAGGAGTCTGTGTCGATTCCACGTGTTTCTAGCTATCGAATGGTATACAAAGTGTTGATGTAAAAAGCTTTTTCCAGCCCAAAAAAGTCTTGCTCCAGCGACCCGTGAAAGCCAGGCTATTGGGGGAGCGGGGTGGGGCAAGCTAGAAGTAGATATCTCCACCTCATTCTTGAAAAGCCACCAGTTTTTTCACTTAACAACCACTGAAAAGCTCACGAAACGACCGGGATTCGACGAAGACCGTCCCTTTTTTATAGCTCCCCTTTACTCAGAGATGCATGGCATTTTAGCTAAAAACATGTGCGTTTTTGTCAAGTAATTCCTGCGTAAGGAATGAATCATGGTACCTGATTGTCTGACTGTATTACAGAGCAAGACCTTGCTAGTAAACGTAGATCGTCCCTTTTTTCCAGCTTTTCTCTCACTTTCGAAATGGAGCGAGAATTGATCGCATAAAATCAGTTCACGCCAAAGCTAGATAAAATTTTTTACATGTGAACTTACAGAGAGCTGGAGAAAGAGACGTTCTACGTTTATTCTACATGTTTAAAGCTTTCGGATGGTATGTCGCTTGATGAGACATAAAGCTATCCTGAATCAAAAAAGTCTTTGCTTGATGACCATTCAAAGGGAAAGCATGAGAAATTCATCATATTACCACTCTACCACTTATTTTCTCTCTTTGCACATTTCAGTCTCACTCGGCATGTGAGCTTACGTCAGCATTTACCTCAAGGCTCAGACAAAAAAGTGTGAGCTCTCTATTGCATCCCTTTCCTCACATATTAAACTAGACAGTCATGTGTGCGGTCATAGTCAAGTGAGACTACCATATGCAAGAGAATACGCGAATAAAGAATAGAGCGGCGGAAAAGTAAATAAATAAAACTCTAGGTACTCAAAAGAAGATGTGACTAGTACCGCGGTTCGAGCTGACTCAATCACAAGGAGAAAATTAGTCTTTATCGGCAACAATAACAATGCAACAAAAAAGCAAACAAAACAAACGAACGGTACGATGAGAGGCTCAAGACTGGCGTTCGATGGACGCCGTGGGATCAATGAGATCACGGAACCCCAAACAAACATATAAGAGGAGGGAGGGTGGAGCTTGCAGTGCAGGTGAGCAATGACCCGGGCTGGACCGGGAAAGCCAACTAGTAAAAAACCGAATATCAAAATTCGGTAAACTCTGCCTTCAACTCCACTCCTTTCCTTTAAGTCAGATATTGTGTACCACAAAGCCTCCGAAGCATAATTGTGAAATTTCTGCCTGGTAAGTTCTTCATTCTTGAGAAAAGTCGCTTCTAGCTTCAAGAACCTATAGTCTACGGTCATCATTCTTGCATCAACTAATACTTCAAAAAAAAATTGAGATACACAAAAAACTGTTCATTCATTTCACTAATGTATGCGATAAATCGATCAACTTTATGAAACTGTTCTTTTGTGAAGTAGTGCAACGAATCTATAACAGGTGAAGGTAGCTTTTGTTCAAAAAATGAAAGAGATTAACACGATAATTCCACATTCTAAATAAAAATTCGCTATTTGCTTTAGTGAACCATAATGACGTTAAAAGTTATCAACAAAATTGATATTAGTCTAATTTGACCTTTGATAGATGATTGCGGATGCTTTTCGCTAAACGCAAATCCATGCCAAGCCGATGAAGACATGTTGATTGGAACACATCTGCCCAACTCCTAAATTGTTGTTTTGATATTTGCTGAAAGGTTTAAAAGCAGCTTACATCCTTGATATATCCCAGCTGACAAATACATTTGTATCCAGGGTCGCTTATTGTGTTTATACAATCGAACGCCGCTTAAAAGCTATAATGTGAATTTCTATCGTTTCAAAAAAACTACAGTAGGGTCGAAAAATGAAGGGGAGACATACATTCCGTACGTGGAAGAGGTTACATTAATGATAGCATCACTTCAGAACCAGCAGCAGGTCGTAAATGCCCTGCATGCAGATAATTCCTTAAAGGCAGCGTCCACCCAAAATTAATTCGCTCCATATTACTACTTATCCCTCTAGCAGGCACCAAAAGTAGACCAAGCGCGTTGGTCTGTTCTGTGATGTTGCTTACAAAAGGAGACGGATCTGGATCCTCTTTGCGCTCCGCCCCCTTTTTTGCGCTCTACCCCACATACAGATTTCCCGTGAGGGGTTCTGACATGAAAAGTAACGTCTAGACGCATAGTTGTGATGTGACACTGCTGCACACTACGAGGTTTCCTGTTGCATACGATGTGTCTAGCGCCGGGGTACTTGTTCATGTCTGCCAAGAAAGGGCTTCAAAAAGGGGCTTTTGGAGCTTTCTGGTTATACGAACCTCATACCCGAAATCACATTGAAAGGCCCAATAACAATAAAACATGACGAAATTTTGGGTGGACGCTGCCTTTAAAGCCTTTGTTTACGGAAGAGTGAAGCACTGCTTCGTAGAGCCGTGATCCAGTGGCCGTCATCAACGAACCCAGTTGGTTCCGGAACACACTAAGCTGGCTTAACCCACGAGATCGGTATTCAAGGACCTAGTAGGTCCGCGAACCCAGTAATGCTTTTTGTGAATATCGACCCGCGGGACTATTTTCGCTTACCCACTGGGTAGCGGAACCCACTGGGTTCGTTGATGAGTAGGGCCACAAGTTCAAATTCTTACTGATTCATGCAAGTTCTCTATCTTTCACGAACGGTAAATCGGTGCCAGATTAGAATTAATAGTTTTCAGCTTGAGTTGCGCAATCTCACTGCTCGTCATTACATACAAATGTATTCATTGAGAAGGCCTTAGAAGCCGCCAATATATGGCCTCAGCAAGATGATGACGACTTCAGTAAGGCTTCCTTGTGAACCACTGATATATCACCAAGGAAGTTGCCTCGGTATAGTTCTTAACCCCGAATCTGGATAGTGTGCAGGCAAAATTAGCACAACTAGGTGCTGTCAAATGTACAGTTCGCATTACTTCACAACAGCCGCAAATACCTGCAGCTAAAGGCAGGACAGAGTCAGAAAAAAGGGGTTTGTAAGCATAAGCAGACAGAATACCAATAAGACGCCTCCACGCCTGCTTTTCACTGCCGTTACCAAGCAATGTCTCATACAAGCACAACTATAAGAAGATTCATTTGGAATATCCCACAACATCAAGAGCGATTTGTATGCAAGAAACATCATGAACGAACTTGTATCCCATCTGCATACATGCCCGATAGAAAGACTGTGATTGTGCGAAGTTTGGTGCCGTTTATCAAATCAATGTATTGAGTGTCCTGCTACCTATATTGGTGAGACTGGCTACCTCTTGATGTGCGTTGTAAAATAATCTGATAAGGAAAGGTATTGAGTCAGCTCGGCCAATTCTGACATTCTGGCCAATTGAGGCATTTACTACCGTAGAACATTGAAAGTCTGGTTCCGAATCTGCCGCTTCCAGCTGCGAAAGGTTCTGTATAGAGAGTTATGAGAGTGTTTCTTTTCGAGAGACAGCGCCCTTCAAAAAGTCAACTGTTTACGGACAATATAGAGCACCCAACGGTGGCGGCTGGCAAAGTGACAGGTAAATCGCAGTAGGTCACCGGTTCAAATCCCGTTTCACGCATCCTATTTTTAATCTTTGCAAAGTTGACTTTGAGCTTGCAGATGATTTTGAGTATTCGAACTTGGATTTAGATACTGTTTAAAGTTCGAAGCCCAAAAAAGGTTCTCACATGGTTTTCAGTTACTGTTTAGGTAGTAGTTTTCGGCAAAAAGAATGGACACTATAACACACCTATACTACTGTAAACACATATGGATGCATTTTGGTGGAAATAAAATGCGACGTCTGTGATCGGCAAGTCGATTAGATCCCCTTAGCTCAAGTTTGAGCAAGTTTCATGACGCCGAAATTTTGAGGCCGCAAACTGAGGTACTGCCCGATTGTCAATGTTGAAAATCTTTACTTGATCAGTGACGAATCATGTGATAGTATAGTTTTTGGGCTTTTTACGGTGGGAAGAACTAAATTTTATGTCTAGATGTTTAAAATCATTTACAAGCCCGACTTTACATAATTTACATATCATGACTTATAATAACGGGCTAAGGGTGCTTACGTGTTTTGTGTGTGTGTGTGTGTGTGTGTGTGTGTGTGTGTGTGTGTGTGTGTGTGTGTGTGTGTGTGTGTGTGTGTGTGTGTGTGTGTGTGTGTGTGTGTGTGTGTGTGTGTGTGTGTGTGTGTGTGTGTGTGTGTGTGTGTGTGTGTGTGTGTGTGTGTGTGTGTGTGTGTGTGTGTGTGTGTGTGTGTGTGTGTGTGTGTGTGTGTGTGTGTGTGTGTGTGTGTGTGTGTGTGTGTGTGTGTGTGTGTGTGTGTGTGTGTGTGTGTGTGTGTGTGTGTAACGAAATTCACAGAACGAGTCACAAACAAGGTTTCAAGCCGCAATTTTATGCACAGCACGCACTGCCACCATCTAGATTCACCATGCCAAAGCACGACTAGATCCATTGAGTAGGTCCCTCAAAAATCCCACCGCAAACGGATCCAGTCAACGTCTGACGCGCAATATTGGGTCCGTATTACCACTTATTGCAAAGTCGTGATTATGTTTGGCAAGTGAATGTGCAAGCCCAAAAAAGTGATGGAAGTTTATTACCCCACGAAAATGGCGCCAAAACGAATCATTTGCGTAAATGGCAAAATTGCCAGGTTTTTACCTGAGCATTTGAGAAGATATTTGCACAGGGATGTAGCTCGCCGTGGGTATTATGCTTATGGCGACTACCAAGCCATGAAAAATTCAAAAATGTTCTAATTCTGCATATGTTCTTCATCTTCCAAAGTTTCATCCACGCAAAATACCGATCTCACTTTCGGAATGAGTGGTTGTTTACGTTTCATTTGTGAAGACGGGCACTGCGCGGTGTGTTTCAATGCCATGTTATGCGGGGATGAGTATGTCATGTAGATAGAAGAGCCAGTGCGGGCCTCTGAAGCAGAGGTGACGCACTGGTAGAATTGATAACGCGAAAGCGTAGCATGCCACAAGATTCGACCCCATGATTTTTGCTTATCAATCAATTGACCACCTTGTCGGCCGCCATACTCCTTTAACTGCTCTAGGCCAGAGTTGACATGTTAATCGGAGCCTCGTCCTGGAGAGACCCACCCTCATAACTCCCTAAACGTAACCGCTCCGCAGCTAGAAACGACGGATTTGGAATCAGCGTTTCAAGCGCTTCCAGTGATATATGCTTCATCGGATTGGCCGAACTGACTTAGGACCCTTTTCTTGTGAGTAGCAAAGGGAAGACTTAAAGGCAGCGTCCAGGCAGATCTGGACCTATGGGGCTTTTACGTGCAAAGTACTTTTGGGGCCCTATCTAAGGCACTGCCCAAGCGGCAGCTCAGGTAGTGCTGTAATGAGTAGTGCTGAGCTATTCCCCTCGAAACTGGATCCCGCGACCGTGTTTCGCAAGGATTCATGGCGCAAAGCGTGGATGGCGCAAAACTGCCATGAATCCATGCGAATACGTTCGCGGAGGCCAGTTTCGAGGGAATATCTCAGCCATTAGAGCAACACCTGAGCTGCCGCTTGGGTAGTGCCTTAGTTAGGGCCCCAAAAGTACTTTCCACGTAAAAGCCCCTTAGGTCCAGATCTGCCTGGACGCTGCCTTTAATAAGTTGACTAAGAATACGCAGATTAACATTAGAAGCTTTCTGCACCTGGCTCATCCCTTACTTCTATAACAGTCGGAGATCAAGGCGAGCGGCTAGTTTTGGCACGAGTCGTCTTTGCCAAAAACGAAGTACAGATATTCTACACTTTAGACCTAATTATGAAAGCTTATTTCCACTTTGTCTTTCTGTTAGCTGATATTTTTTTGTTCTTTTTCATTTTGAGAGTACAAAACATACCAACTGAAATGACCTAAGGTATGATTTAGAATTTAGAATTTAGGAATTTGTAGGATTTAGCTTTGAGCATCATAGCGACGAGATGAGTGAAGACTTTGTATTGTGGGAAATTGGATGAAACCAACGAACGATAACTGGTTCCACTTACTGATTAGTGAGCGCCCCACTGTCCTAGGGAGTGCGATACTATCAAAGCTATCAACTTCAGATTAGAGCTGAAATCAAAGCAGGGCAACTATAGGGCCGCATGCGTTAAGGTCCCCGCTGGGGAGGGGATCGCAGCTTGAATAAAAACTTCTGCTAAAGCTCCATATATTTGGATTCTGTCTACCCATTCATAAGTATTCCCACTAACTTTCTGCTTGAACATGTTGAACAAAAGCGAGAAGTTGCACTGGCCGAATTCTCCAGCTTTTGTACATACGATCCCCTCATGATCTCCGAAGGCCGACCATCTTTTCTTCTAGTCATTTTTCTTTCTTTGAAGTTCATTTCAAAGTTGTACTGATCATCTAATCTAACAGTACTGAGCGTGTTGCTTATAAGAGCAATTACGTTATCGAAATATCGAAATCTTATATATAAAGCTGAATGTCTGTTTGTATGTATGTATGTCTGTATGTATGTATGTGTGTACGTATGTTCCGAATAGAAAATTCCATTTCTGAACCGATCCGGACCAAACTTGGCACACATACACTACGGGCCCCGGCGGGTGTCATAGGCTACTTTTCGTCATCGATCGATATCGATTTTATCGATTTTTATCGATTTTTTTGCTGAGTTTACCTACGGGGCTGGGAGTTGGCACAGGGGGGAATCGAGCATGGGGATTCCGAATACAACATTGGTTTTCAGGATTATCGATTACTTTTATCGATTTTATCGATTTTTTTGCAAAGTTTGAGCTACGGGGCTGGGAGTTGGCACAGGGGGTAATCGAGCATGGGGATTCCGAATACAATATTGGTTTTCAGGATTATCGATTACTTTTATCGATTTTATCGATTTTTTTGCGAAGTTTGAGCTACGGGGCTGGGAGTTCGCACAGGGGGGTAATCGAGCATGGGGATTCCGAATACAATATTGGTTTTCAGGATTATCGATTACTTTTATCGATTTTATCGATTTTTTTGCGAAGTTTGAGCTACGGGGCTGGGAGTTCGCACAGGGGGGTAATCGAGCATGGGGATTCCGAATACAATATTGGTTTTCGGGATTATCGATTACTTTTATCGATTTTATCGATTTTTTGCAAAGTTTGAGCTAGGGGGCTGGGAGTTGGCACAGGGGGTAATCGAGCATGCTGATCATCCCCAAGGGGGGTGATCAGCATGCTTGATTACACCCTGTGCCAAATTCTAGCCCCTAGCTCAAATTTTCAAAAAATCGATAAAATCGATAAAAGTAATGGACGATCTTGAAAACTAATATTGTATTCGTAATCTGCATGCTCGATTACCCCTGTGCAAACTCCCAGCCCCGCAGGTCAAACTTTACAAAAAATCGATAAAATCGATAAAAGTAATGGACGATCCTGAAAACTAATATTGTGTTCGTAATCAGCATGCTCGATTACCCCCCTGTGCAAAATCCCAGCCTCGCATGTCAAAATTTACAAAAAATCGATAAAATCAATAAAAGTAATCGATAATTCTGAAAACTAATATTGTATTCGGAATCCCCATGCTCACTTCCCCCCCTGTGCCAACTCCTAGCCCTGTAGGTGAACTCTGCAAAAAAATCGATAAAAATCGGTAAAATCGACATCGATCGATAACGAAAAGTGGACTGTGACACCCGCCGGGGCCCGAAGTGTATGTGTGCCAAGTTTGGTCCGGATACGGCGGAGCCGGGTAAGCCAGCTAGTTTCCAATAAACCCAGCTTTTGACTTGTAGTTCATCGCGATTTTCATAATTTTGATACATCATTTTATCAGAAACATGCTTAGCATTGTTTGTCTAGATAAGAATTGAAACTTTGGCACATTTTCGTCACCTTTAAGAAATAAAGATGACTCTTAAGAAACAACGGTCGGCCTTCGCGGATCATCAGGGGATCATATAAAAAGCTGGGAAATACGTCTCGTACAGCTCCTCGCTCCTGCACTATTTGTTAATAGTAAAGGATGGTAGGAATAATTAAGCACAGATAGACAACACGAACAGATATCTGAAACTCCAGGATAAGAAACTTTTCTTCAATCTGCGATCCTCTCCCCGGCGGGGATGTTAACACGTTTCGGACCGGTGCTGCACATGGTGCAGCACGCTCCTTTGAAGGATCTTTTCAACATTTACAGGAAGTTTTCTTTTTGTCTAAGGTTATAAAATCAAAGGCCTAAACTCCTCCTTTTCGAAAAGATCCTTAGAGTTGTGCCATCGATATCTGTTCAGGAGATATGAGGACAAATCGAACATCCGTTGCAACGAAGTGCGACAAAGCGAAGGACGTGTGTGACGTCCTAACTTTTTTTAGCTTTGAATACAAAGAGAAAAACCGTAGTTTCAATAATAATATGTATCGTGTACAACATAGACACTTTTGGATACAATTAGAAACTGAGTTCTTGTTCCTATCTTTCAAGAAAGCACAGAAGTCCTTCTCAGACGACAAAATTCAAACACTTCGAATTCACTCAGAACCCTGGGAATGGATCTTATCTGACATGCTGATTACAAATGTAGCACACAATCTCCGAATTAAGTTCCCTTTGTTGGCTAACGGCTGAAAGTACCCTCTTTCGCCGCGCGCGATTTCGCGGTCCGAAACGTGTTAATGCATGCCCTTAGAATCGATCTTTTTGCCATAGGATGAATCTACTTATAACCGCATAAAATGTGAATCCTAACCGAGCAATAATTCCATGGCAATTCAGAAAATGATTGCTCAAATATGTTCCATATTTGTTCCATAACGACATAGTGGTCGGCTCACCTGGGCATCTCTGAAATTCGCTGCATAGGTCTGAGTGAACACATGACTCCACATCAGGCCTGTAACTCAATCCTTTTCCACATGGACAAGTTGTATTCCATTTGTTCATGCGGATTGAAGCAAAATCATCGTTGAAAGACGCCTAAATGCATTTTCAAAGCAAAGTTCTAAATTATGTTCAAGCGAATCCTATTCGATGAGTTAGTAGTAGCAGTGCTTATCATGTTCGCTTATTCTGTCGTCTCCTTATGGACAATTGTCCCATCTTGCGGTATTTTGAATTCATCTTAAAATATTTTGTTGCATCAGATTACCATTACTATATTTCGAAGAAATAGCTAACGCTCTTCAATTTCTACCATCAGGCAATAAATGCAGGAGGGTTTGCAGATCTGACTTCAAATCTGGCAATACTTCGCCCGTTATTATAGGCGTCCACGGATCTTCTCAGAGGGATCCCAATCGGTTAGTCGCGAGGCTATTTGGGCGTCCCCAGTTGGCGGATAGGGGGGTAATCGCCAACTAAAAGCGACCCCGCGTCTGCCCTGATAAGCAAGCGGAGCCGGGGGACGGACTCCCTGCCTCCATCAAAAGCTTGCATACCTACTTCCCGGTTAGGTGTGGGAGAGGCAAGCTCGGAATCGCTTCTAACAGAATATCTCCGACCGTCCCTCGCGTGAGATTTGAGCCCAACAAGCTGCTCCTGCAAGTAATAAATTGTTGAATTCAGTGATATAATGGAAAGCTCCCCTAATCTTGGAAGAGCCACTGGTAAGGCAGCGTCGGTGGGGACAAGGTTTGAAGGGCGATCTAGGCGCCGCAAACGAGACGGACAATGATGACGATCTGTACTTACAACGCACGGACGCGCATCGGACGCATCCATCGAAGATCTCTTGATGCAAACAAAGAAGATCATGTACGACGTTATCGAACTGAGAACAAGGATCGTTTGATACTGGACAAGAACTGTTCTTATTGTTAGGAACATGCGACAGCAAAAAAGTTGGCGGTGTAGGAGTCCTTGTCAATACGAGTTTGGCCGTGAGCATCGATTCATTCGAACAACTCACAACTCGGATCGGACGTTTACGAATATCACGATGTCGATCAATCTCAGCCATGACGGTTTTCATAGCGTACGCCCCAACATCGAGCTACGACGCGGCCTTTCAAATGGACTCGGAGAAGTTCTACACGAAAGAGCACACCTTCTACAAGGTCATCATCGGTGACTTCAGCGCAAAGATCGGAGCAAGAAGGTCGCTTGCAGAGCTTCACATCGGGACCCATGGACTACAGTGGAACGAACAAGGGGAGAAACTGTCTGAGTTCACCATGACGACGAGGACCATCCATGGAAACTCGCAGTTTCAGAAGCCCTCTTCCCAACGCTGAATCAGGGAATCGCCCGGTGGAGAGTACCATATCGAGATCGATCACATCATCGTTAATAGAAGGTATCGCCTGACCGATGTCGCTGTTGTTCCGAAATTCCACATGGGATCGGACCCCGTCTCCTTCGTGCCAGGTTCTACTTCTCACAGAGTGGAAAGAGAGCATTAAATTTAGGAAACACCGTCCCACGACTATCATCAACTGGGACCTGTTTTCTTCCATATCCGGCTTTTGGCGAGATACCGTGATCGACAACATCGACAAGAAAGATGAAAGATTTATCCAGCATCTCCACGATTGTGCTAAGGAAGCTGGGAGCCCAAGAATTACCAGAAAGCGTCTGTCAACGCAAACTCTACAGTTACGCCAACGTGGACGAGCACGAGCCTTAGGCATTACCAGCTTACGTCTGAGCTCGCGAAGAAGAGCATGCAGAGAAGAAATGCAGAGAAGCGATAAAAGAAGATCTCAAAGAGAGAAGAGCACGAATTATGATTGACGCCACGAAGTTGCGCCCGCCGAACATCGTCAATTTTAGCATTAAGATGACCGCATTCCACCGTCCTGATGGAACCACAACATCTTCCCGAAGTTTGATGAAGAAAGTCATCCAAGAATTCCAATCAGATCTCTTTGCGAGTCGCGTCCACCTACCACCACGCCATTTCAAGGAGGACGGATATGTTGCACCATCAGTTCTTCCTTCAGAGGTTTGACATGCTATCATGTTAATGAAAAGCCATACAGCAGTCGGGCCCGATAGGATCAAACCGAAACACCTAAAGCCCTGGCCATTCTACAGAGATTTCATCGTCGCAATTTCATCGCCGAAGAATTTCGCGATTGTAGCAACGAAATCGCGACTATCAAATCGCTCATCGCGCGTTCTGGCCATATTGTCCAGCGCTTGGGTGCAATTGCACAAGCACACATTTTACGCAAACTTTTGTGCAGTATTCAAATTTACTGATTTGATGAATCTGCCTCCTGCCTTCGAATGATTGTGAAATTAATACGCAGACGCGTAGCCAATGTCAATATTTCACTGTTTGAGTCTATTAACTGTTGTAATGGCTAGGAGCACGCCCGATGATACCGGCGCGCAGAGCATCCCGGAGCTTGCAAAGACAAAGAAACGAGTCAAAGAAACATGTTTTAGGAAGCACTTTGAAAATTATGCCACATGAAACATCCAAAAGATTGACTTCGAAGGCAAATTCAGTATGTCAAGGTCTTGGAAAACTCTCTAACACAGCTTAACAGACTCTCACCTGATATAATTTTATTCGTAGATGACTTCAACACCAATAAAACATCCTTAACCTGCGCACAGTTGAACAGTATTATTCAGAAGTTTCGAACAAACACAGATATTTACTTCAACTAATGGCACGGATTAGAAGCACGACGGGCATCACAGTACGAAAGAGGTGCAAATTAGGAAAATTTAACATCTCCGCCAAGAAACAAGTCGAAAGAAAAAAGGGAATACAACATGATGAACGATCTAGCCCCGGAACTAACAAGGAGAGGATACTTAGTCGAAAGCACCAATCCAGATGAGACATATGTCATCTTACAGCGCTTGAAACGCTGATTCCAAATCTGCAGTTTCTAGCTGCGGAGCGGTTTTGTAGGAGGAGTTATGAAGGGTGTCCCCCTCTGGGGTTTAAGCGCCCCGCGGCGGTCTCCCCGCATCTTTAAGCACTGTAGAGGAGTATCAGCTGTGGCAACTGACCTAATGGTAAGTAACTTGAATGAAGATTACAGTAAGGACTGTAATACTCATATTACTTTGATTTTTTTAAACATTTCTAACTTCGATTAGTATTAATATCATCAAAAGTTTCATGCTTTAGGGCTTTAAAGCCATTTAGAAGTTCAATTTAGCATACGAAGGGGGTTAAAACCTTAACACTCTCTTTATCAAGCATGTCACCACTAGGTCAGTTGCCACCAGTTGGTACTCCTCTGCTCATCGGTAGGGAGAGACCTGGTGGAGGGCGCCGCAACCCCAGAGGAAACACTCCTCATAACTTTCTCTACGAAACCGCTCCGCAGCTAGAAACTGCAGATTTGGAATCAGCGTTTCAAGCGCTTTAAGATGATATATGTCTCATCTGGATTGGCGCTTTCGACTAAGTATCCTCTCCTTGTAAGCAGGAGGAAACGACAAGCATGGGGAGCATACAAGGCGATTTAGGACGTAGTGAAGAAGACCAAGAATTCCCGGCTACGCGCCCGTCTCTTCAACGCGACGGTTCTGCCTGCTTTGACGTACGCTTCGGAAACGTGGACCATGAGGAAGCAGGACGGACATGCGGTGAGCGTCATCGAACGCGCTGTTGAGAGAGCGATGTTGGGGTGTCCCGACTCGCGCAAGTGAGGGAAGGAATACGCAGCTCTACCTACGTCAACGATCGAAAATCAAGAGTGCTGCCGCATACGCCAAACAGAATAAAATCAGATGGGCCGGACACGTGATGCGTCTTGACGACAATCGGTGGATCAGAGCTGTAACAGGTTGGACACCGCTGGACGTCAAACGCGGAACAGGAAAACGACTCGATGGTCAATATTTTTAGAAGTCCTTTAAAGCAGTCCTTCAGGGCGTACCTCGTGTACCTGGTGCGAGTAGAAAACATTGGTCAACGATCTCTCGCGGCAGGGACGAATGGAGGCGTCACTGGATCCCGCTCGTGCCAAGCGACGATCTAGGATACAGATGCTACAGGTGATTATAGACGTATGGAAGTAGTTAACATTAAAATTTACAAATGAAATGGTTTTGTATAGGATTGGGCCAGACTGCACTGCGTATGCAGCGTACGCGACGTACGCATCGCACGCTCCATATCCTTATGCAAGTGTGCGTACGCCACTTAGCCTGCACAGTCTGGCTTGACTCATACGTAACTCGCAAATGTGCGACGATTGCTTGGAAAGTAGACAAGAAAGAACCGATTCCAACCACGTACACTTAATATAACTGGTAGATCGTCTGCAACAGGAAAGTGTTGAGAGGGATAAAATAGTATGCGGAATTTGTGCTCGTTCAAACGCATCGTTTAGGACAGTTCTAAACAAGCGGTAGAAGACATCTCAAAGACAAGGCTGAAATTTACGCGGTAAAATTCTTGCCAACAAACTGTGTAAAATTTCATGCAAGTTGGTTTCATAAGGCTCCATCACCACAGGCCGTCGGCGCTTCTCGGAGAGCAACGCTGTTCTGTCCATCAAGAGCAGTTCATGACTGGAAGAGGTGTAGAGAAAAAAGCGGCGATAGTGCACGAGGAAAGAGGAATGATGCGCAGTATGTACATCATTCGCGACCTGCAAGGACGACCTATAACTCGCTCGTCTGCTTGAACATAAGCGGTGGATCTCAAAAAAAAAGGAAACGAAGTGAAAGCGCAACATTTCTCAAAATTAGATCACTTAGGGAGCCACTTTTGAAAATAGGTCTCAAGATATGAAGATAACGCTCTCTGAAACAAGAGAAACTTTCCCGAAAGTACGAAACTCGCCATAAGCAAGAAGCTAACAGGAGGAGATGCGATAAAAACAAAACAATAGGACTGATTTATCAAACTTCTGAACGAAAACACTTATTAAGAGAGAATTTCAGCATCAGTATCCTAATCAAGCGGAGCTTATGAAATGCTACATATTTTAGATACTAGTCAACATACATCAACTACACTGTTCGAATTCCAACAAACTTCGTCATACAATGGCCGAGGGCAGGCGGGCCTATCAACAAGTGAGTTTACAGGAATTTGTAACCGCCTTTCTAAAATAAAGCGAACGGGATGCAAGAGTTCAGCCATCCCTTTTGGGGGTGCCCGCATGCCCCCGGCGATTGTTTGAATCACTGTTCTAGTAAAGTTGCTCCACATAGTGCTCGGCCGAGGTGGCTCCAGTTGTTGGAAAAACGAAGTCCCTGTCTCCCTCGTTTTCGCAACACACTACATTTTGTGGGGTATACATAGAAAAAGACGGAGACAAATAAAGAGTATCGAAAAAAACGCTCGGAAACATAGAAAAGAGCGTAGCCAAGCGGAGAGGAGGAAAATTGATTCAATTCAAGAATGATTTATAGATCTTAGTGTATAAATAAAAGCTGTGCAAAAGGGATTGAAAATAGTGTGAGTAAAGACAGAATATGATTTTGTTTTCGGGAGTTGGCTCAGGTGGCTCCGGGTGCCCGAAAGCCGCTGACTCCGAAGAAAATTTGTCATGTCTCTGGACATAACTTTTTCGTGATTTTTACCCTTTTTACATAAGTCAGGCTTTCTGCCACGCATCTCTACGCCAAATTTGGTGTCATTTAATATTCTCTTCGTTGTAAACAAGGCTCCTTCTATTTCGCGGCACAACTTTAATTCACGCGCTTACACGAAGAGCATATTAGAGCAGGAAATTGCTGGGAGGCAGTAATGAGAATTTGCGTTGTCTGTGGACGTGCTAGCGCGATCTGCGTAGAGCTCGTTAGACCCTGCAAGAACGATACCCCTCCCCCCCCCCCCCCCCCCTGCGGTAATGTTGCATGTCGTCTACAACATCTGAAGAGATTTTGTTCATCTGCGAAAGCTACTCACTGTCAGAAAAGAGAGTCTTTAGCAGTTACGCTTTTGGCACATTTTTGAAACACCTTGTACAATGTTTTAGGATGTAGTGTATTGTATACATTTGCAAACGCACCTCAATACGACAACGCTCTCTATGGAAGCACTTGTTCAATCCGCATTTCCAAGAGGAGAAAAGCAACGATGAAGAAGGAACGCCGTGACAACAAGGATCCGGACAAAAACTGGAAACCGCTTGTGGAGTTTGTCAACTTGTTAGCTGATTAGTCAGCTTTTTAAAAACTACTTGTCTACTAGTGAATTGGAAATGCGAGAACCGTACAGCAATGCGCATCTATGTATAACCCTTCCCCAACTTATCCTGAACCAGCGTTATGAGTGACTTGTCCCTTCAGCTAACAAGGAAAGGATACATGGTGACGTGGCCTCTGGAAATGAAACGTAAACCATTGAATGCATCTTGAAGCGCTGATTCCAAATCTGCTTTTGGTACCGCTGTGCGCTCTTCCGAAAGAAGCTATGAACATTTCTTGTCACCAAAATTTGCACTGTTTTTGATGCAGGATTCACCAATATCGTTAGAATGTCTGCTTACGCACTACAAAGGAGCGTACAGGTAAAGTAAAGCTTAGCGTTAAGCTCAGGAAAACTGCCACCGAAACATCAGAGTCTAAAAAGCCTGGATACTGACGATTTTGACTGTCTAAATCTCGCAAAATTAATATGGAAAAAGTCCATACCTTCGTTCAGGGAGTCGCACAGCAGATAGATTTAGAATCAGCGCTCCAAGACGCACCTAATGGTATATATCTCGTTGCAAAAGGCCACGGTCACCAAGTATCCTTCCCTCGTAAGCCAGATTTTATCTCTAAGGAATTCATTATTGTCATGAATAATAAGTTTTGCTAAAGTTCAACCCATACGCAATCTCTCATTTCGAGGATCTTGGAACTTAATGGATTGAGAAACGTTCTCAGATAATCGCTGGGGGCAGGCGGTCCGCAAACTCGCGCTTTTCTGCAAGCGGTCAACAGAATTTTGGGGCGTGGCCAAACCTTCAGCTGGCGGCACTTCCTTTACGGTCGCATATTCTGCCAGCGGACAGCAAACAGCATTTTCTGCAAGCGCTCGGCAAATAATTTCTTTCAGCGAGTGCTGGCCAAACTTTCAGCAAGCGCTCGGACTCTTTTTAAGCAGTTTCGAGCATACGTCGAGCACAGGTAAGACTCTGTGTGGGAGGTGTCGGTTGGTTTAATTACTCAAGTTTGAGGAGCGGCTGCGCGGTCCTCCGTAAAGGACCGTGCGGTCCCCGAAAATTCTGCATATTCTCGCGGAAAGTCCGCGAGAATGCGGCCCACTGCACCGCAGCTAATCCATAAGGAAACCGCGATTGTTCTCCAAGCGTTCGTCTAGAATTTCGCTAAAATTCATTCAAATATCTGCAAGCGGACCGCAAGAAATCAGCAAACTATTTTTCCGGCGCCCGCCCGCCCACAAATCGCATGGTCGCCTGCCCCCGGAGATTATCTGAGTTGGTGCCAAGTGAAAGTGAAAGTGAAAGCGCTCCTCACTCGGGTATTTATGCTAAAATCAATATTTTTCGAGAACCATGTATGGGGAGCTAAAAATTTACGGTTATACTTCTAAGGGATTGTAGTATACAAATACATGAGTGAAAACAGCATAGCTTCATTTTTGAACGAACGTAGAAATCCTTTTTTTCATTTTTCAATGAAGAAAATTACAGGAATGGTACATACGAAGGTCTGTTTTAGTGTGCAACTTTCGTGAGCAAGTTGGAGATTTGTAGGTTTTTTGAACGAAGATATGAATTTTTCGCCATCTTTTAGCCTTCTGTACGACTCAGATTTCGAATGCAAACTTACGGTGGGTCGAAGTTGGTGCGAACTTTTGCACACCTTCTGTAGAGCTTGCTTTGCCCTATCGAATGGTGCCCTGGATCCCTATAGAAAATGTAAAATGTAGACTTATATCCGTAAGAAGTTAGAGTGTAACAAGATTTATGTTACAGGCTAATACTTTTTACGGAGTATCCTGCCATAACATTATTTCTTAAACTCGGTTTGTTTGAACCTATTAGGGGGAGGGAGGTTCTAAAGGTGCAGAATGAAGCTCAGAGTTAACTCCATTTGTGCTGAGCATTTCGATCATTTTACTACCGACCCAGGCTCTTTAACCACCATTCAGCTTGCAAAAAGCTCTGGAATATTTCCCATCCCAGCCCCTGAGAAATCTGTAATTATTCATTGCTTTTTCCAAAGTATCCAACTTTACTATGGAGTTGACACACTTCTCGTCCCGAAGCCAGTTCCAAGCGTGCACAGTGTGTTTTATGCTTGAGCACAATGTGTAGATATGTGTCATTGTGTGAATGTAGATACCTACCTAATAGCTGTTGAAAGTCATGCGAAATTTACAAAAAGTGGTTTGCTTTACGTGGGTAGAGCGATTTATTTGGTATATTTGACTACTTAAACCGACTCCGCATATGTAAAACATACCTTTTGCGTGCGCATTGGTAAGGCTCGCCATAATATTCATCGATGAATTGTGCTGACTTTTGTATTACGTGCGCAGGCCAGATTCTCTAGAAGAGGTTTTGTAACGAATATGAACTCAACAACCAAGCAAAAAGAACTACTAGCTAGGTAGTCAAGTGCAATCTCTTTTTTTATGACTTATTCATAAGAAATCAGTATGAGCGTCTTTGATGTTATCGTATATCCACAAGTATCCCACGACTACTCAGATAATCGCCGGGGGCAGGCGGTCCGCAAACTCGCGCTTTTCTGCAGGCGGTCAGCAGAAATTTGGGGCATGGCCAAACCTTCAGCGAGCGGTACTTCCTTTACTGTCTAATGTTCTGCCAGCGGGCAGCAGCACAGAATTTTCTGCAGGCGCACGTCAAATAATCTCTTTTAGCGAGCGCTGGTCAAACTTTCAGCTGGCGCTCGGATGGTTTTTGAGCAGTTTCGGGCATACGCCGAGCGAAGGTGAGACTCTACATCTCAGACAATCGCTGGGGGCAGGCGGGCACCGGAAAAATAGATTGCTGATTTCTCGCACCCCGCTCGCGGATTTTTTGCAAAGCAATCAGGACTTGAAAACCGCTTGCTGAGTCAGCGGATTTTTGAGAGACCGCCTGTTGAATTTTTTCGCTCTTATCTTTTGCAGATATATTGCTGAATCTCTGAGGAATCGAGAACAGCAAGCGGTCTTCCGAAAAGTCCTGACTGCTTTCCAAAAAATCCGCGAGCGGGGTGCGAGAGATTAGCAATCTATTTTTCCGGTGCCCGCCTGCCCCCGGCAATTGTCTGAGATGGCAGAGTCATCGATGGTTTAATTACTCAAGTTTGAGGTACTTTCTCTCAGCCGAAAGTACCTGGGGGCTGCGCGGTCCTCCAAAAGGACCGTGCGGTCCCCGAAAATTTGGCATATTCTCGCGGAAAATCCGCGAGAATATGCGGCCACTGCACTGCAGCTAATGTATAAGGAAACCGCGATTGTTCTCCAAGCATTCGTCTAAAATTTCGCTAAAATTCTTCCAAATATCTGCAACCGGACCGCAAAAAACCAGCGAACTATTTTTCCGGTGCCCGCCCGCCCATGAATGGCATGGCCGCCTGCCCCCGGCGATTATCTGAGTATATGTTTACATTATGAAATGAAAACATCTAGTCGAGTCGTTGATCGCGCAGACGCTCGAACGTAGCGAACACGCGCGGCACGGCTAGACTGCTGCAAGAGCACGACTTGTACGGTAGTTTTTCAGTATAGTGTGTCTGTGTGTCAATATAGTGTGCTTGCGATGCCGTGAAAATGCTGTAAGATTTGGGCGTGAACAAACATCTATTCCTTTGATCCCGGCAACTTGCGCAAAATGTCGGCATTACTGGCGTGGCTATTTGTTGACGCAGTTTATCGCGTTGATTTTATCGCGATTTCTCGGCACCGCGAGCACACTATATCAAGAAAATCTACTCGTGTACAATGGCGATTTGCATTGGGGCAAGCGTTTTACTTAGCGGAGCGTGCTGCAGTGATTTTTAGTCCGTTAGGTCAAGGTTCGACGATAAGTGCATACTTTATGGCGTTTGTTATCTTCGAGATCAAAACGACAGAATGGAACCTCTGAGAAGGCGGAGTTCTTGCGCATAGTGAGGAAACAAAGAATCTGCAGTGGAAAGGATCATTGGTAAAAGTAATCGGTGATCGTGTTTTCTTGATTACCTGTGTGGCAGTAATTTCCGTGCTCAGTAGATTGTCACTGATGATGTCTTTCAGTACTGCAGTGCTAAAAACATGAACTCAGACAGTTTGCTCAGTGGCTGTGAAATTTGATCACTCAACTATAGTAAATAACTAATGGATGCTCAAAAATTAGAAGAAGCGAATTGACTTTGGCAATACATCATTTTTGTGTTCCAGTACCACATTTATTTTGCAGAAACACATTGAAGGAAGACTACCCTAACTCCACGAGTATAGGGCGGTGGATTCTTTTCTTGAACCGAACAGCACAGACACGCCGAAGGATTTTCGCGACCAAAAAATTATATACTCAGACACATTTATCGGCTGGTGACCGTGCGACGAAGGCATTCTGGCCGAGGCTGCGCTATGTTTTGGGGCGGAGCCTAAAAGCGGCCGAGGAGGGGGCGAAAAACTACCATCGGCTGGCTTCCGGCCGCGCTCGCAATAGCGCGGTAACGCGCACAAAATCACGCCTATCGTCAAAATAAACGGCGAGCATGAGATATCGTCAATACTGCACGCCTTACCTCACCTTTCAAATCTAGTTATTGGTGATTTCTTACGCCAACGTGTCTTGCTCTCTGTCTTTTCTCTTGTATAGTGTGGACCCCGGCCAGCTTCCCATATGTACCCCCGCGCCGCGCACGCAGCGCATGCCTTTAGTGCGCTCTTCACCACAGCCTCTAGGTTTTTATGCGTTTTTCTATCTTTACTGACTTTGTTCTCCCTGTAATCTCTTTATTTTAGGGCTAAAGGACCCACGACAATTGATGTTGAAAAGCTTTTATAAGCCTTATAAGCCTTGAGCAGCATTTATCCCAGCAAGTTCTAGTTTTTTCCCTCGATAGTGAAGATTGAGTGCATTTTGGGGAGAGCTATTTACAAGTGTTTCTATCACGGACCTAGCGTATTTCTCCGACTGAGTTTGTTTTTGTATAGGTGTTTTTAACACGTTTCGGACAGGTGCTGCACATGGTGCAGCACGCTGCTTCAAAGGATCATTTCGACGTTCACGGGAAATATTCTTTTAGTCCACGGTTATCAAGTCAAAGGCCTAAGCTTTTACTTTCCAAATGGCGCTGTAGAGCTGTTTTGCCGATATTTGTTCAGGAGATATGAGGACAAACCGAACAACAGTTGCAACAAAGTGCGGCAACGCGAACGACGCGTGCGACGTCGCAACTCTTCTTGCTTCAATTTCAGGGAGAAAAACCTTAGTTTAGATAATGGTGTGTTACCGTGTACAACATAGATACTTTTGGATACTATTAGGAATTGAGTTGCTGTTCCCATCCTTCAAGAAAACACCAAACTCCTCCTCAAGCAACAAATTTCAAACACTTCGAATTCACTCGGAATTTTGGGTATGGACCTTATCTGACAACTTTTTTTAGCTTTGAATACAAAGAGAAAAACCGTAGTTTCAATAATGATATGTATCGTGTACAACATAGATACTTTTGGATACAATTAGAAACTGAGTTCTTGTTCCTATCTTTCAAGAAAGCACAGAAGTCCTTCTCAGACGACAAAATTCAAACACTTCGAATTCACTCAGAACCCTGGGAATGGATCTTATCTGACATGCTGATTACAGATGTAGCACACAGTCTACGAGATAAGGTCCCTTTGTTGGCTAACAGCTGAAAGCACACTGTTTTTCGCCGCGCGCGATTTCGCGGTCCGAAACGTGTTAATTTTTTAATGCGGCATTGTAGCTTCTGCTTGTACAATAATGCCCTCGAGCTTACACTTCTCAGGTTTATTATAATTACCGAAGGAAAACGTTTCAGAAATGATCCTCTCTCTGTAACTTCTATGATTTTCACCCGTCACTAGTAGTTCATACAATTATTCATGAGATTGACTAGAAACTAAGTGTTAGTGAAAGTTGTCAAAGTTCTCTTTTGTTTCGGCTTTTCTCGAGCTGGGACTAGAGGGTTTCCACTCCTTATTTTTCTCCTATCTTCACGTAAAAATGTTTTTTTTATCACAAGTGAAATGAGAAGCGTCAACAGAGCGCGCGTTGGCGCGCGATGCGTATGCGCCGCGGAGGTACCTATGGGAAGCTGGCCGGGGCCCCCACTATACTATAATGTGCTATCGCTCATGTTTGTTTTTAGCAAAACCAAAAAGGGTCCTTTCATGCTGTCGTCGAGTTGTCATGGTGTTCGTACATACTTAGAAAGGACAAAGCACGCGCCGCGTCCTGCGGCAGTCGTTTTGAATATACGCTCACGGCAGCACAGCTTTGCCGGTTATTTATGTACCAGTGCGTCACCTCTGCTTCGCAGAGGCTCGCACTGGCTCTACTATCTATGTGCCTTACTCATTCTCGTAGAATCGTGGCACTGGAACTCACCGCGCTATGTCGACTACCACGAATAAAATGTAAACAACCACTCATTTAGAAAGTTTTTTCCAGTGAGATCGGTGATTTCGCGTGGATGAAACTTTTCGCAAGAAGACAAACGCAAATTTGAATAGGTTTTTGGATTTGTCATGGCTTGGTAGTCGCCATAGAGGTAATAGTAGCCGTGAGCTACATTTCTGTGCGAAAATCTTCTCAAGCGCTTAGCTAGAACCTTGGCAAATTGACCATTTACACAACCAATTCTTTTGGCGCCGTTTTCGTTATGCAGTAAACTTTCGACCACTTTTCGGGCTAAACTCCATCGCTTGCACAGTTGCCTACCAAACTCGTCCACGACTCTGCAAAAAATGGTGATACGGACCGAATTTTGCGGTATAGAAGCCAGGTGAACCCGTTTGGCGCGCAATTTCTGAGGGATCCACTCAACAAATCTCCTCGTGCTTTTGCATGTTGGATTTTCTTGCGGCTAGCATGCGCTGTGCAAAATTTGGGCCCAGGAGGTTGGCTGGAGCACGCTCTACGAATTTCGTAACAGACACACTCTCACACAGACAGACACACAAAGTCACGTAAACATCCTTAGCCCGTTATTATAAGTTATGATTTTTATATTTGCTGCACGTTCGTGTTCTGCGAGATTGTTTCTTCACAGCGTATCCTTCCTTTCTTTTACCTTGTCTCATCGTTGATCGACTGAGTTGATCGAATGATTCTCCATTCAGGCTGAAATCGTTGCTCTTCCCCACTACAACAAACTTATTTCGTTCCATTTTGTTCTCATCAACGACTTCGACCCGCTACTTTGTTTAATTCTACTCATGAGGTACTAACTTTCTGCGTTATTGCTTCAACAGATTCTGCACTATAGATTCGCACTATGATTCTGCCCTCAAGCTTTTGCTGGAAATTGCACAAGATCCTGTAAAAGTGGACGTCAAGGTGGTGAGACATTAAGCAGTTTTACTAGTACCTGCTGCTGGAAGTTTCTTATACAGATGAATTGCACGAAGTCTGAGATCAGTTCATCTGAAGCCACCCTACTTGAAATGCCGTGAGTTGGTAAGTCATGTAAATCGACACATTCTCAATCGATTTCTTCTTTTAAAAATGTTTGAAAGTATGTTGCTAGTCGAATTCTACCTTCAGGAAGCGACGGTATGCGCCTTTGACTTTCTCTCCTACTACCACCCGCACTGTGTTTAGTGCGTACCATCGTCATACCGATATACCCTCGATATTTCGTCATTTCTTTAACAACCTCTGCTTAATCGTTTCTCTTCACTGGTAATAATGATTTCATTGTGAATTGGCTCACTGGCAGATAAAGTCTATGCACACGTTTTGAAAAAAAACGCATTAGCAATATAATAACACAGCACCAATGGAAACCGTTTCTCGGTTTCTCCTAAGAAGATCAAAGCAGAATGTATCAAAAGTCAGCAGGGCAAAAATTTAGTGCTGTCGAGAAAAGATCATAACGAGATAACTAACACGTCATGAAAAACCACGAGTAGACATCTATGCTTGTAGTAACGCACAATTTGCCCGTTAAATTATGTGAAAGTTGAGTATAACCCGAACAGAGGTTATAATAAGAGGTAAAAGAATCAATCCTTCTTGTCATGGAATAAAGAAGAAGAGTTAGGCCTATATGGGCTCATCAGTTGAAGTGTCGGGTGCACCAGCATCTCCATTCCCGAGCTGGATTCTGCGTCTCTTCCGGAACATGCTCTTCAAGCACTTTCCCAGAACGAGGTGGTAAAGGCCCAGCCTCAATTAATTGGAGGTGGTTAGAGAGCATGTTCCGCTGAAGAGACGCAGAGTCCAGCGCGGGAGTGGAGACGCTGGTGCACCCGACACTTCAATTGATAAGCCCTGTACAAAAACTATGAATCTTTAGTAAATGCTTTTCCATGACGAAGGCGGTTGGCTCAGAGTGCGACGCGGCCGCATCCCGCGTGTTTGAGCATCTCTTACCACTGGAGTACGTGCGCCTGGGCACTCCTCGCGTGCATTGGCGGACGTCTTCGTCTTGTATTAGCTTATACATTTTTACGTCATTATTTACAGACACAAATTCGATAACACTGTTACTTCATCTCTACAGATATCTTTTTGCATAATACTGGTGGAACAATTCCTCGCTCTATGAGCCGTCTCTATGCCAGCATGCGCACCTGCTGCACCTGCCTCCTTCCTCTGAAGAGGGTCTTAGGAAATGCGTGGTGCCGGTTCGAACCTTCTCACTGCCAAAGCGTCTTGTCTGCGAGTTACCAAAGCAAATTGTGGAGAACCTGTACCATTGAGATTCTCTATGGCGTTTGGCACAGACCAAGGGAGGATTAAAGAAACGACAAGACGCCGGGCTTCGACAAAGTCTAGATTTATGCGCATCAATACTTGGAATTGCTGGCCATCAGGCCGAAGGTCGCTTCAATCATTTGTCGAGCACTGAAGTGTTACGCGAATGGTCTTCAAACTAGCTTGATACGCTAAAGCTTTACCCGCTCAGCTTTCGATTGAAGCGCTCGTATCCCTTGTGGTAGCTTCCCTCTCCGTGTAAGGCCCAATAAACCTGAGTCCCTGACCAAATCACCGTTCTAAGATATGGTATTGGACGGAGCCCACGGTAAAAAAAGCAATCTGAAAATGGAAGCTATCTACTGCCTTTTACGGAAGGAATTCCTCACCAGCGCTTCTAGTGTTTCTGGGAGTAAATCCGCGAGAAAGCTTTCGGGAGGGAGCGGGAAAGAGGTTCTGGTTCATCACCCTCTCTAATAGTGTTTTCGCTTTTCTTTGAAGATGCTCCCACTGGCTTCCTCGAGGTCCATGCTCCTTCTTTTTTTGCCCCAATAAAGAAGGTGAAGGCGGATTCAAAGGGACTTAATTAGTACAGAATAACATAAGGTACTCCCACCATTTTCGTCAGGAAAATCATCGTCGTCATAATCGGCAATATTCGTCATTTGCGGCCTGCAAAAGACATAATTGTGGATTGTGTTCTGCAAAGCCGAAACAAGATTACTCTGACAATGACGTGTTCAAAAACGACAGTGATTTCCGCATTTCGGCAAGCGGTCTCGGTGCCGATTCTGATCGTGGCCGCAAAAAACTGTGCGCATCCCTCATTGATTCCACTCTTTCTTCTTCTCCGGCAGTAATGACAGGATGTTCTTCTGCACTGTTGCAACGATGAGTAGTACTAACACTCATCCGTACAGTCGTAACCTGAACACAATTACTTTTACAGAGACGTTCCCATTTTTTAACCTTCAGTAGTAGTCAGCATGGTTAACATTCCATATTACTGGCTCGTTCTCTATTTCTACTGTCAATAGATCTCGCCAATCAAACTCATCTGAAAAAACATAGCGAAACAACGAAAGAGCGTAACAACGAAACAACGAAGCGAGACATAGAGAGAAGAGTCTTCTGAATGATAAAAGGCAAAATGAAGTGATAAGCAATACTGATAGGCGGAGATAAAGTAAAACTTGAGAAAAACTGAATAAGTTCGGTGAAATTGCGGAAGCACACAAATTCATTCTGAATGAAGAATCAACCTTCGATCGACATGAGAAGAGGTGAAAGAGAGGAAGGATTGCGCGGCAAGCTGCTGCGTATTGCGGCGTACGCCGCAGCACGTTGCAGCACGCCGCGTCCCCTCGGCGTAGTATGAAAGAACCCAAAAAGAAGTCCTGCCCTATGAAATAACTGCTCCTCTGAGATCATAACTTTTAATGGATGGAAGAAGAAGTGGGTACACATGGTAATGCTCTCAAGTTGCTAGTCCATGCATGCCACAACAGGTGAGCAGAATTCGTATTCCTCCTGCAAAACCTCAATTATGCTGTTTAGAGGAATTGATGACAGATGTTAAAGTCATATGTGCTATATTTATATGGATCTCCATTGCGGATGGATAATAAAGTGATTATTTATTGCGCAATGCTGGTGTACGCTATTAAAGTTGGCATCCCAACCGATTGTTAAGGATTGTATCGTTACTTGAGTTTATACAGGACACAGTACTCTGTTGTAAATTAAGTATTATGGATTACGAGAGCGGAAATGTCCTGCATATAGGTGTTGAAGCTCGAGCCTCCATGCGATTTGGCCGTTTTTATGTAAACCTTGATGATAATATATTATGTTGCATACGTTGATCTAGCACAACGTTGTTCTTTCTGATCTTAACACGTTTCGGACCGATGCTGCACATGGTGCAGCAGGCGCCTTTGAAGGATCTTTTCAACGTTTACAGGAGGTTTTCTTTTAGTTCAAGGTTATCAAGTCAAAGGCCTAAGCTCCTCCTTTTCGAAAGGGTCTGTAGAGTTGTGCCATCGATATTTGTTCAGAAGATATGAGGACAAATCGAACATCCGTTGCAACGAAGTGCGGCAAAGCGAAGGACGTGTGTGACGTCCCAACTTTTTTTAGCTTTGAATACAAAGAGAAAAACCGTAGTTTCAATAATGATATGTATCGTGTACAACATAGATACTTTTGGATACAATTAGAAACTGAGTTCTTGTTCCTATCTTTCAAGAAAGCACAGAAGTCCTTCTCAGACGACAAAATTCAAACACTTCGAATTCACTCAGAACCCTGGGAATGGATCTTATCTGACATGCTGATTACAAATGTAGCATACAATCTACGAATTAAGGTCCCTTTGTTGGCTAACGGCTGAAAGTACCCTCTTTTTCGCCGCGCGCGATTTCGCGGTCCGAAACGTGTTAACCATTCCCATGAAAGAATAAAATGCAGAGGAATTCAGTATTACATTATAGATCATTTGAGAATAATGTGTTCAACGAAGATAAACTGCCATAAACTGACGCAAAAGCGAGCCAATAACGTCGCTACCTTGCAGCTGATTCCGCCTGGCGTCCGCGCCATTTTCGCGCCGAGACCGGCGAGCGGGCGGTCGGAACTGAGGTGTTGCGTCAGCCGGTCGTCGCCCGGTCTCCAGCCGGTAAAGTTGTCTAAGAGCGGTGCTGGACATTGCCTGAAAGTATCGTGCGGCATAAGTCTCGTTTTCCGAAGTACAGCGAGGCGGCTGAGCGGCGCCCTAAAAAAATCGAAAGTGTTGCGTCCTATACTCTTGGAATTAGGGTAGTTATAAGAAGAAAAGAGACTTTGAAACTTTATTCAACTTCTCCTATTCTTCGAAATTTTTCCTCGCTTCAAAGGACTATCATATTATTTGAAGTTAAAGTGCAAAGCGGCAGTCGTAAACTAATTTTAGTTCTTTTGCCGTGGTTGAAAGTTAGCACCAAAATTTCGCCATCCTTCACCTTGAAAGCAAAAGAGACAAGAAAACAAGTAGAAGTCAAAGGAAATGGGCAGTTTCAGTCCTACAAATATATCAGATAGCGCGAATATGGTGCAGTACGCGTAACTGCGAAGGTGTCGTCAATCACTGCGCGCAGCGTGCATGCTCACATATTATTGTTAAAAATCACTTGATATACCTTAGCTCAGTGTCAGGTTTGCGATGTGACTTTGTCGGGTAAATCCAAGGATGAGCCTTTTGTATGGTAGCAAGTATCTCTGACACACAACTCTAAAATGTGGCAATATTGCAGTGGTTTAGGAAGTGTGAAAAAGTCCCATTCTGAGTTTGAGAGTAATTGATGCCCTAACTGTGCAAAACTCTTACATCTAAGAGAATACGTTGCACAAAGTAAGACTGTTCTAAATTCTAAACAAACGTGATTTATCCTAGTTTCATTTGTGTGCAAACTTCCATAAAAAAAAGTGGGTCACCAATGTGGATCTGAGGGAACCGAGACACTACACACTGCCTTAAAACATTGCGCTACTATTGCTTAATGATTTTCTGTGAGAAAATTTTCGAGCTGCTCCCAGCTCGACGAACGCTATTGTCGACTTCGGTGTCATTTACGAATACGAAAGATAGCGCCAAAGAAGCTTCTCAACGTATGGTTTGTTCGAACGATACTACAATGATTACGAAAGAGTAAACAAAGTGTAGGATATCACTTTATATGAAGTGCAAGCAGCAAAACTCTCTTGTTATCAAGTCCTTGGAAAATTAGATACCCTTTCGTAGAGCTGGCATCAACTTACATTAGATTCACAGTGAAGAGCGAATCACCTACCTCTCATCATTTTGTTAGGGATATGGTGAGAACTCCAAAGAGGGTTTTGAGCAATGAAGGGTCATATTTGGCTCAGAAAGGAAAGAATAGGATTTGAAAACTCTCGCACTAAGCTAATCAGAGTTGCTGGATCTAAATATGAAGCTTGCATCTCATTATAATGCTTACTGGGGGACGAGTGGCGTAGTGGTATGAGGCGCCGCTATGACCAGGTCCGACACAGACAATCCCGCCCCTGGGCCAACCAAGCCCTCTCCCTCCGGTAAATTGGAACCAGACTAATTTGGGAATAAAAGCACTGACTTGGTAAATAAACGGCTAGCCCTCGCAATTCACTGTAATAGGCTCGCACGCATACAACTGTCTCTTCGACTATGAAGTAGAGTGCTTTGGGGCATGCCCGCAGAGGGTATTGAAGACGCCAAATCCTTTATCCTTTATCCTTTTATTATAACGCTTACTTTAAAAGTGATGCCAAGTGAGCAGTAACAGCCGTTTTTTCGATGTTGCTAAATATGGTTAGTGTTCAAAAAGCTTTACAATCTTATACAAAGTTGAGTTCCAAATTCGGCGTCTATAAAAAACCTATTACACAAAGTACCGATTTTTTTTTGAACTATTCAAATTGCAAGTTTTTCACAGCGATCCATATGCCAGGAAGTTCCTACCGTAATCTTACAGTAATGAGGGGCGATCGGTGATCCGCTCTATACTGTAAATCTAAGTTGAAGACAGCTCTACAGAATGGTTTCTAAAGCTTCCCGAAAGACATCATGACAAGATAGTTATCAACAGTCAAACAGTAGACACTATTTTTGGCAGTCGGTGTGAAACTGGTGACGTTTCAGGTGTCTTTGGAAAGTCAATTAGCGTTAGCACATCCAGGAAAGTCAGTGCAGTCAAAAAAATGCCACGCATTGGTAAACAAGAAAAGCTATGAAATGACTCGCTAATCGCAAAATTTTTGATTCAATTACAGAGATAGAGCGTGGTGACGAACTTTACCTTCAGGCTGACTTCGCATGACTTTACAAGCTTCATATCTAAAGCAGAAACAGGCTCCGGGAAACGATACATGTACCTAATAAGACTGCTATCACTTCATGTTAATTCGATGATTTCCGCACTTACCCGAGTTCATCACCGGGTAGAGGCAATAGCTGTTTATAAATACGATAATAGAGAGCTATTACTCCAATTTTATGCAGAAGCTCTTTTTGGCTTTGCTCACTCATTTGCTCAAATTCGCTGTGAAAAGAAGGCTTGTAGGAGCAAATTAGCATAAAAAGCAAACCCGTCAAAGCGATCAGCAAGGAGGTCGTCAAATGTCGAGATTCCTTCTGTTTCTTCACACATAGCAGAGGATTCAAGCAGAAGCAAACATCCCAGAAGCACCGCCGTTTCAGTGGGGATCATACGGAGGAATGAGAAAAGAAGACCACTGAAGCTTTACTTGTTGGTAAACGAAGACGCCAACGTGTTTCTCTCTACCTCCCTTTCCTTGCTTTTCAAGTTTTCCTTCTCCTAGACGGAGTGAGAATCTATGAGACATCTCCGGTATTCCTCAGTAAGGAAAAAGTTGTCATAAACTCTGTGTATATCTTGAATGTGATACTTATAAAGATTTCTATCTCATTACTAAATTCAATGTTGCACCTATTCTTTTTGTCTAGTGGATGAAATAAAATGGAAATAGAATGAATCTTCTCTCTTGCTCCTTCGTAATCGGATCATAAAACCAATGGGACTGAAACAAAATTTTGATGAGGGCCCCATTCTCCGGGCATATCTTCCTTCTGTGCACTAACTAGACTGTAAGAAAAACAACTTTGAGGGAATAATTTTTCTTTCTCTTCCTGAATTTTCACTGCCTTTTCCTAGATTTCCCTGTGCAGCTATTAGAAGATAAAGTTAGCTGTTTTGTATCAAGCACGACCAATTTTTTGACCACATTTCTTTTTGCTTAATTTACCTCTTTCTCGTCTCCCAGCTGCGTAATCTCTAAACTTTAGCGATTTTCAGCAAAATTCCGCTATGTCGAGTGATCTCTAAGAAATGCTAAAATATTTGCGAATTATGACACTTATTGAGCAGAAGAAACTGCATGAAGAGTGTTTACTTGTGGGAAATCTGCTTTCAAATGTTTCACAATGCACTCAAATTCTTATCATCTAATCTGTGACGTGCAAATGCATGTCCCTTGCTCTTTTTCTTTTTTGAAGCAAATGGATTTGCATGGCTTGAATAACTAAGTCATCAGAGCTTATGGAATAAGGCCACAAAGGACAACAAAATCGTGTAAACATTGCGTCTTGCATAAACATTATCTGTCTGTGCTGCAGCACATTTTGACATATAAGAATCATTTGCAAATTGACTGAAAGTAACTGGTTAGGATTTTCCTGTTTGAAATATGTAATATGTCTCTTGAGCATGATCGAATTGAAGAGTTGCGCTCAAATGCGGATCATGCTAAAATAAACAATAAATATAAAGTTTGGAAGAACACTAGTTCTGCAGCGTTCAATGCTTGACCTATGATTACTGCTGCGATTGAAGATAGTCTTCGAAAAGTTTTTCTTGGTACCCTTACGAAACGAACATAAATTACCATGAAACACAAATGTGAGAATTTCGATTAATTATCGCCAGACCAGACTAAAGTGGAAAAACTTATGAAGTGCTAGAATGTAAAAAAGTTTAACTTTGCGTTGTATGGAATTTTCGCTGCGGTAGTGATAAGCCTGATTTCATGTTATAAGCAATGAAGTAATAGCCACAGTAGGAATCATTCGTTTTAGCCACATCTTCATCGGCAGGACATTTTGTAGGTTTTCTGGAGCCACAGCTGAAAATTTCAAAGCGTGAGCGTCTCAATGATGAGGCCAAATCAAACAGAATAGCTGTCTGGCTGTTGCAAAACCCATTTTCAACTAGTTCTACATTGCAGAGCTAAGAGGTACATGCGCAGATGATTCAGGCAGACTTTGTTTACGAAAAAACCCAATTCTTAGGTTACTATATGGAGAATGTTGTTTTTTCCTTCATATAAGCGTGTCACTCATCTGCAAAAATGCAGTTCTTTTTTATCGAGTTATTTTGACAGATGTCTGCGTTGCATTATGAAGAGCCACCCCCCCCCCCCCCAACTGTCTACATAACAGCACTGATGCACCCCATATAGGACCAAAAAAAATGACAAGAATGGTGAATCTTAGCATATATACTAAGGAAGTTGAAGCGCCATAGCAAATTGCTTTTATATACATTCACTGTATTAAGTTGTCCCACAAGTAAACGCCTTTGCTGAATTCAAGCTCTTTTTGCGTGAGTCACGGTACCATTCGACAGAACGGAGCAAGCCCTATATAATGATCGCCAAAGATCTACCTAAGTCCTAAATTTTTTCAAAATTTTTAACTTCCCTAAAAATCGCATTTCCTTCCAGTAAATTCCTACGGACTTCCAGCTTGGTTATCATCAGTAGTGCGTAGTAATTCAAAAAAGCAGCTGGGTCTTTTTCGGGGACCAAAATCACGGAACTAAAATGGCACTAAAAGGCAAAAAGGCCACTTTTTCGGTTTCTCATTTTAGACTTGGTATTTCTCAACTAAGAGGATGTATACAAAGGTGAAATCTCGAGATTATATTTGCTAAGGCTTGTAGTATACAATGGCATAAGCGAGAGGATTGGGAGGGCAAATTTGTCATCCTGCCATTTTTGGGCTTTTTTCTCGCTTTCTGTGCACCGAAAATATCTAGTAAAGGCATATTTGAATACTCTATGTGTCTACTGTATTTTTTCATTCAATTTTCAGGTGATTATAATTTATTTCGATTTTGGCTCCAAACTTTACTTGATTGCGACCTAGGTGGCTAGAGGTCATGTATAGCTTGAACCGCTCTATCAACTGATACCCTAAATCTGCTAGGAAAGTCAAAACAGCTTGATTTCTCTAGAGGATTTTACCTTTGGGTAACCCGATAGTTCAATTCTCCCTGCAGTCGTTGCCTGACTATGTCTATTTGAGGAAGAACCTTACTCCAAAGCTAAAGCTTTACGTAAAAATGTAAACGCATCTTTAAACTCAAAGGATTGCTGTGCTGCTTCATGAAGAGAGTGATATTTCTATGTTCCCATTCTGGTTTTTTGCCCCAAAAACTAAATTTGAGCAACAACTACAGAACATAAAAAATAATCTCCGATTTACAGGTGTGATATTTGTGTAGTAGAGTTTGTAAATAGGCTATTATCCCATCAAATCTGTCACACTTGTTTACGAGCCAACGTTTTCAAGCGCTGCACGTTGCGTAATGGTTCTGGTCTCTGTGATGCGGATACGAGAACTTGAATTCGTTGCCCATAATTATATTCGATCCTCGAAAGAGAGGATGCGAACTCGGGGCCTAGAGCCATTTTCGAGACCAGTCGGTCGTGACCGACCATCCTTGTTACTGGTCTCTAACTAACGGATCTTCGATTTATAAAGCTTGGACGAGTTCCTAGAAGTGACTCTCTTTGTTTCCTCTTCATACTACCTCACGGAATCCCTTAAAATGAAATTCCTTAGCCCAACACCATCTCCTCCCACTGGTTTCGTTCCGACCGTGCAAAGTGGCGATACGTTAGAAAAACCCCTTCGCACCTAGTTTTAGAAGAAGCGATGCGTGCTTAATCGAACACATATAAGGTCATGACATACTTTTGTTCTTCAGAATCCTCGCGTTTCAGATCCCATTCAGCATCAGGATGTTAGCACTTTTCATGATCATCTGCTTATTGTCCGTTTCCCAGGCTGCTCCGGGTAATGAGGTAAGCCTGAGAGATGCACTAGTGATGCACTTTCTCTTTTTTTGTTATTTGGGCACCGTTCAAAAATTTATTGTAAGGCTGCGAATACTCTTTGGATCCAAATCCTATATTTTTCAAAAGCAAAGCCACTCCCTCAAAAGAAGTTTTTTTCTAAAGACCAATTGTTTTCTAAAGGACCGGGCATACTTCATGCGATTTCAGTCGCGACGCGATTTGGCAACTCGCCAGAAGTCTTCAGATTCAACACTAGCAAATTGCACTAACTTACATGGATTGATAAAATGCCCTATCTTTTGTACATCTGAAATGCGCTTACAATGAATTGTGGAAATTTGATATTGCCAAATCGCGTCGCGACTGAAATCCTGTGAAGTATGCCCAGCCCTTAAGAGACACATGAAAAGTGTTGTCGAAAAACTCGAGAACTTTCAGTATCTGCAAAAACGTAGTGATACCCGGAGGCGTTTGAAAAGCGATTTCTCTAGAACTCACCATCTTAATAGCTTGATTCAAAGCTACGCACGTATTTTGATGCATCTTCACTGGTTTTTGACCTCAAGCAGTTATGATCTGTATCTGTTTTGAGAGAAGAAGGTGTTACATGCATTAACGTCCCCGCTGGGAAGGGAAACGCAGGTTAAAAGAAAACTCAATATCCTAAAGCTCCGGAATTCCAGATCACGCAGTTTATTCATCCCTAAACGTTCCTCCTTCCTTTTACTATGAACATATTGAACAGGAGCAAGAAGTTGTACAGCATTGTCGAGCTTTTTGTATGACCCCCAGTGCCGTTTTTCTTTTCTTCAAAGTTATTTTTCTTCCTTCAAAGTTGGTGAAAACATCTCAAAATTGTGATTATCTAGACTAAAACTGCTAAGCATGTGATCAATTTTAAAATAGTTCGTAAACTCATATAAGTAAATTTAGAAATTTCTCGGCCTTTCAGCATTTTCGGGAATAGAAGTTGGGAAAACGCAATGTGAATGTCTGTCTTATAAACTTTGATTCAGCTGGCTTGGCGGCTGGAAGGCGGGGCTTTGTGACCTAATTGAGGCCGCCCGAGCCCGCGACGCAGTGTGCGTCTCCGCGCGCGTTCTCTCTGATCATTACCTAGCCTTAATTGGGTGGCAAAGCCCCATACTGCAGCCGCCATATCATTTAAATCAAAAATTACAAGTTCTGATGCAGCAATATTATTTATGTTTCGATAATCGGAAAGGGTAAAGTTTCCATTGAAGTGGGAGAAATCACAGAAATCTAATTCTGTTGCAAGACATATGTTCTTTTGATTATCTATTAATAACTTGGTGTCAAAATCTTAAATTTCGACTTGTGGATCCGAAATTTCTAGTTTTCAACAAGTTTCACTGTTCCAACTTCAAAGAAAGAGAATGAGTTGAAAATAAAACGAGCGGCAGCAATCATAAGGGGTCATATTAATAGTTGGAAAATGCGGCTTGTACTTTAATATTTCTCGTTCTTGTTCAACATCACACTCTATCAGAATGTCGTTCAGATCGCTACTCTATATCGATTGTGAATTTGGCTTGTGAATGGTATAACACGCTGAATAGTAAGATTTCCTGGCAAATAGGAGAACTGATTGTTTTCTTCGAATATTCAATGTAGTGACAAATAGTAGCTCAAAATCGCTGTCGGTGCTTTAATCATCAATGTAAATGTCCAGAGACCCGTCAAAAAGTAGTATAGCCACAACTATTGTAGCTGGTGGTCATGCCAAAAATGTTGAGATTAACCATGGAAATCTCCGTACTCGGTGACTATACTCAGAGCTTTGCACGAGGAGGCTTTTGGAAAATGCGAAAAATGAATTCCGCTTGACTTTCTCAAAATTTTGCGAAGTCCCCTTTGACCCTAAACCTAACCCTAAAAATTCTCCAAAAAAGAAACGTCGACAAGAAAACGTCGCAGATCTTGTGTCTCCTTGGCCACAAACACGAAACCCCCTTTGCTTTTTGTCGTGCCAAGTTCTGACTATACTCGCATTGTATACTTTTTTACACAATAAGTTATATGTGGATAGCTTTATACCACGTTTTTTTTTTGTTTCTTTTTCAGCGAAAACTATAACCTAGCAGTACAGGGACGAATATAATTCTTCTACAGTCGTGTTTTGTTTTATTTTCAGACAAACGAGTTACCAACTAATGTTTCAAAAGCCGCAAAAAAGCAAGCCGGGGAGTCAGCATCCGCCGAAAAGAACATGATCGAAGATGTAAAAAAGGAACTGGACAAAGCGGTAATTGTATTACACACTTCTGCTCCTTTTTTGAAAAATGACATCAGGTAAAAAATCTCAACAACTCCGTCGTCGACAACAACCAGAAAGTGACCAGTGCCATCACGGAGGTTGCAGGGGTGAGTCGAGTTCAAAGGCAGCGTCCATGCAAAATCTAACACACCTCTCCTGCCCGATTACCGCCTGGATATAGGCAAGGTTCTAATCGGGGCCAGGAGCGGTGTGTTAACCCAGCCCTCCAACATTTGGGACTTTGCACTTTGAACTTCAATGTAAATTACACCTGTCAGGGCCATGGAAAGGCCCAGTGCGACAAACACATAAGAAGTGACATTTTGGGTGAACGCGTCTATGAAATGAGTACTTTTACTAAACTAACATTTGAGTAGAGCTCAGTACTACTGCCTTGTGCAAATATGAGAACTTACTTTACTTCCTATATTCTCACAATCTTTTCACCTGTCTACGTAACCATCCATCATTCATCGCAATAGTCCGGCTTTCGATTTTTTTCACTTGTGGAGTGTCGCCAATCTCACCAAGTGGATGGTTAGCTAAAATTTTCAAAATCGATAGATTATTGGAACCGTCAAAATGTCAAGCCTGAATTTCTGGTGGAAGTGATTCACTCGAGTAATTTATAACTTACGTCTATGCCCAAAAAGCTTGTTTTCTGGCAAGCCCCATCGCGAAGGCACAGACGACTTTCAGTTCCCTGGTGGGCGCAGTTCGATAGGGTGGGCGTGGCTTATTTTTGTGGGTTCTAAATCCATTACCTCCATTTAAAGACAACACTGGAGGACTGGACCAAAGCAGATGCTCCTCACTTGGGGGCAACATTCAGGCTAGATACTAACTGGAAGGTTTAGATTTGCTTGGACGCTGCCTTCAAATGATAGAATTAGTATGAGCTGAATTATTGACTTTAGACAAAATGCTTCAACTTCATCTCGTAATTTCTCAGTAATTTAATAATGTTTTTCGTGTCTTTGGTTTTTTTAAAGAGTATGCCAGAAGGAAATGAGTCGTGTCGCAAATTTTACGGCTCTCAATGATGGGGGGACAACATTTATAGGCGAGTCATTGCACGCAAAGACTGGACGCCATTGCGTCCGAGGATAGTTTCAGATTGAGAGACGACAGACGAGGAGGAGTGATGAGAGAGCGTGTCTTAGGGAGACGTCGACAGTCTCTGCTTGCAATGACTCGCCTATACGAAAATTGCTATATACCAACTTAGCAAGAAAGAAAAAGTCTGATTGACCAGAACGATTTTGTCCAACGCGTCGTTTCAGGTCGAAACAGAAAAATAAGCGAAAACTTTTTTAGAGCCTGACATGCACACCAGTGGACTGTAACAATCGAGGAACATGCGTCGGCACAAAGGCGGCCCACATTTGTGCTTGCAATCTGGGTTTTTCCGGCAGTAGCTGCGAAGAGAGTGAGTTAACCACCTTTTTTCAGCGCTCATTTCATTTCTGTAGTAGTTGATTACAGCGGTATGCGATTCGAACCGCGAATGCAACGGACGCGGGATCTGTTTCGGGACGACGTCGTCGTTCACGTGTCTCTGCAACCTCGGCTACAGCGGGACTCGTTGCGAAATAATTCAGCAAACTCCTTAAATGAGCGGCTCGGCTTTGTAAACGTGAATTTCTCAGTTGTGTAGATAAGACTTCATTGTTTTATTATTTCATGGTAACATATCTGATGGATAAATGTTGTGTGGTTTTTTGTTTTTTTTTCTCATGGTACAAGATGCCAAATTTCACTGTTCTTACAAACATCAAGTGCTCCCACTGATTTAGTCGTTTATATTTTTTATACAATACCGCTCACAGAACGTGCGTAATTTCCCTGAATGTCGCGGATTCACGCGAAATTCACGAAATTCTGCAACTACGCAAACTACGCAGCGCCATAAATTCCTTGGAATTGAATTTGTGCGAAATCCAAAAAAAAGCCTGTGTTTGCGTGATTGCGACTCCGCGAAAATCCAGCAATGTCGCAGATTCCCGGGAATTTCAAGGAATTCCTGGAATTGCGGAAATCTGCGACTCACAGATGCTCGTTCTGTGTGGTACTGTACCGTATTCGAGGCGGTGCTGATATCTATATTGAGAACGGTTTGATCCAGTCTTGCATAGAACTCGAAATATTCGAATAAATACTCGTATTCGTCCTATGAAGTCCTAGGAAACAAAACATAAAGATCCTAAGAGATAATTTTCTTATCACGAATCTTGTCAAAAATATAGCATGTCTATTCGCATTACGCATAGGACTGAAAGGCAACTTTGGACAGTTCGGGCACTTGTGCTCTATTGCATATGAATTGGAAGGCGTTAGCTAAGCCATTGATCAATTGACAGCTTAAAGGCAGTGTCCGGGCAAAAACTCGATTTTGAGATTTTGTGCTTACTTGGGCCTATTTGCTACGCTGAATCCGAAAATGCACATTGTAGAGCACGAAAATGGCGAAAAAAGGCTCTAACACAGGAGGGAAATGAGCAGGTGGGCGGGGTCCTCCCCACTGCGAATTCACGTTCCGGACTTCCGGAGCGACCTTCTCGCGTCCGGTTTCAAGTCAGTCATTCGCACTTGGTCCGTAGGGATGTTAGAACGGCTAGCGAGGTCGAGAAAATCGCTCCGGGAGCTAGGAGCGTGAAATCGCACTGGGTAAAGCCCAGCCCACCTGCTGATTTCCCTCCTATATTAGAGCCCTTTTTCGCCGTTTTCGCGCTTTCCAATGTGGATTTTCGGATTCAGCATGGCGAATAGGCCCGTATAAGCACAAAATCTCAAAACCGAGTTTTTGCCCGGACACTGCCTTTAAAGGATCTACTTGTGGCGAGAAAAATCACTTCTAAACTTCCATTTATTGTTAGAGCGAGCTTTTTCCGTGGGTCAATCAGCGTTGTCGAGTACGGTAGAATATGGTGCAAAGAGTTAAAGGCAGCGTCTAGGCAAATTTCAATCCCCTCCGACTAATACCTAACCTGAATATAGGTCCCAGGAGAGGGACGTCTGCGTTTGTTCGGTCCTCCAGATGGGACGCACAAAATGCTATTGAGCCACGCTTACCTTATCAAGCCACCCACCCAAGTATTGAGAATCGTAGGTGCCTCATTCAAAGGCTCTCAGGAATTATGTTTTTGGGGTTTTGCACTTCCAACCTTCACAAGTGTAATCCACGGAATGCAAAATTACGAACGACCTTTAAGTGTGATTTTTGTCCGCTCAAGAATAAATCACTGAGCTACCTTGAGTATGGCATTAGAATCTTCACTTGGTCCTCACATAATCAATCAAAGGCTCAGATTTTCCACAGTTTATTGCCTGCAAGACATAGCCAGCGAAATAGCAGGCAAACAGCTACAAACAACACACCCTATCTAAACATTAGAAGTGTGACTGTGTTCGGTTAATAATCATAAATACACTAGTATATTTACACATCATGCGCCTGCTACAGTTAAGACTAAGCAAGTCTCAGTAAAGCAAAAAAAACTCACTGAACTAAAGGTAGAAGCATAAAACCATTACTATCAATAACTTATCAATGGATAGGGAAATTTTCAGTGGGGATTCCATCAAACGTTCCTCTCTTGCCGATTTCTGTTCGTTAAGCTTAGACTATGGAAATTTTAGACGAGTTTAACGATTCAAAGATAGCGACGGCCAAAAAACTGCATAAATTTTCCCGATAACAATTGGCGAATAATTTTGGTGTGCTCAGAAACATGCATAGATTGACAACAGGTACCTTACATTCTTTTCCCCCTTCGTCACCGAAGGCTGAACACCACTGCCAAATGTCAATACATTTTCTTTGAGTTTTCCAGCAACCATAAATTCCTCAGAATGGCATCGTAAAGAACGGATTGGATAAAATAACGTCTAAGTGCATAAGATAACTTCTCTCTGAAGCTGCTGAAAGCTGCTCCATCTGCTCGAGGTCCCCATAAATTGAAGGCAGCATCCACCCAGATTTTCTTCTTCCATGTTTTTGCCATTCTGAGACCTTTCCGTGGCCCATTGCAGATATGAAGTGCAAATGGCCACCCCCGAAAAACCTGATCCATGATAGCCCTTTTCATAAAGGTACAGACGACTTTCACTACCTGAAGGGGCGGGGCTTGACAGGAAGGGCGTGGCTTGATGGCACTTTTCCGGGTCCGGATCCATTTTCTCCGTTCAAAGGCAACACTGAAAGACCGGACCAACGCAGATGCCCCTCTCTTGGATGCTACATTCAGGCTAAGTGCTATTCGAAGGGGCTTAGATTTTGCCTGGACGGTGCCCCCCCCCCCAAATGACGTGCACCTCTCTGTCTTGTGGAGGTGAGGAGAAAACGATTGCTAAAAAACTTCGCAATAGCTAAACTGCCATGCTGATTACGAATCGGTAAAAATTAGTAGTCAAACTCGACAATTTTTTTTCCAAATTTTGAACGCAATAAACTGTCTATACTACCACTCTCAAATATTTTAGATAAATCCGCTCTTAAAAAAGCTTAAGTAGCTTCATTTGTTATGTAGTTTTTGCAAAACCGCAAGAAAATAGAGGTTTCTGTATATCAATCAAAAGCTCTTAAAGATATTTCAGGACCTTTTGGTTTTTGTTTTCGTTTTAGACTTTGCAGTATGCAAAAGGCATATTTTCAGCCCTTATCGAGGATCGAGAACTAAAGTCCATGCACAGTTAATTTTCACGTATCATCCGAAAGAGCACTTGAATCTTTGATTAATGTATGGTAAGTTCTAGAAAGTTTTATATTCCTCTAATTTATAGCAAGCAAATAATTTTGAATCCAAGTTTTAGTGTATTCATTTTCAGAGGTTCTTATACCTCCAAGAATCATGAACCTTTTTTTGTTGCATTTAGCACAGGGTAGTTTTGCTTGTGTAAGTTGACATGTAAATCGACATTTATGAGAAAAATCTTCGTTTTACTTTGCCAAATGTGAACCTGGAGGTAGCGATGTACGAACATTGCCGAAAGTGCCTTCAACATTCGCTCGTCACTCAGCATCAATTATGTTGGTGTGAAGCAATTTATAACTGTCACGACCGAACGTGAACCTGAAAGTTTCAAAATGTTGATTTCATAGTCTTTGTTTGCAATGGTGGCAACAGCTTCATATTAGGTTGTAAAGAAGGTTTTTCCGGGCATTTGCGAAAATTATTCTGAAACTGTTTTAATTTCAAGCAGAACCGTTTTTTGGAAGATCTCTTGTTGCAAAGACATCGTTTTCCACAACATGGTTGTTTTGCTGGCTTCTTAGGACTTCATTACGGTCCATCAGCATCGTTCTATGTGTTTTCCTTTACAGAGCTCCAAAAAAAATTTTCCTATGAGATTTAACCGAGCACGGGAAAATGCCCGGAATTTGAATCCAGTAGTGCCAAGGAACCTTTCTTTACGACCTGGTACAAACAGCAGATTTACAGTGCTTAATGGCCCCTCTCTATGAGTTCCTAAATAGGTAATCGCCTAAGTCCGTTGCAAAGTTGAAGTCAGCGAGAAAGTGCCCTAGAATGCACAAGCGGCCCAGGAATCCCCGCCCATCAACGTGGGTGGCCTGAAGTGAAAAGTGCAAACTTGCGCTCCAATGTATCTAGATTTGCTATAAAATTCCAATAGCTATGGGCTCTGCTATTAAGTAGCATCAACATCTCACATTTCTCGATTTGTGTGCTGCCTTTAAAATTCAGTTGGAGTTCTATAACCATCACCGATAGGGAACTTCTGCAGTGAGTGCAAGGGCCAAGATGAACGGTATCTGTAAATAATCACAAAGTATATCTCCGATTGTCAATGATTCTTATACACAAGACAATATTGTTTGCGATACAAAGATAATTTTGAAAGGTGAAATTTACAGGCCTTAAGTCTATGTCATTTTCTAGAAATGTCAACTCACTTATATAAACTTTGTGGAAGATATGGCATAAGCAAAGCATGCAGCTGGCACAGCCTATCGTTCACGATAACTACCCCCCCCCCCCTCCCTGCAATGACACTTTTTTTCTGTTTTTTGAAATCTAAGATTTATGAAAAGCTTTTGTTGTCTATTCGTCATATGTCAGTCAATTTTATTTGATTGATGATGGTCAGTTTCGTTGATTCAGAAAAACGGCACAGTTGTCATAGGTTATGCGAAGAACCTCTGTACCATCCTTCCAGAGCGCTGTAAAAATTCCAATGACCGTAGTGCATATTGGGTAAAACTGGATTGTATAACTGTGATCCATTTGATAAAGTCGCTAGCTATAATAGTCTTTCCAGTTTTCAGTGTCGATAATCATTATCAAAGGAATCGCTTTTTTTGCCTCTATTACTATTGCCTTATATTAGCAAGGAACTAGAGGAAAAGATATGCCTAAGTCGTAATCCATGTAAAATTTAAAGCCAAAAATCAATTTTTCAACTACCCCAAAAAGTGATCCCCTTCCAGAAAATTCTACAGACCTCCATCTTGATCATTGTACAGTAGACATATAGTAGTAGATACGCAAAAATGTGATTGAAGGATTTTTCCGGGCTCAGAATTGAAAAATAAAAATAATTTGAGAAAAAAATGTCATAATTCTGGTTTCTTATCTTCAACTTGAGATTTATCGATTATCAAGGCCATACATAGGCAAAATTCTAACATTATACGTACTAAGGGTCCCAGTATACAATCATATAAGTGGGACTGGGGGCG